AGCCGAGTTCCGAGCTACCTGTAGCACTAAAGGAGGTGTTGGGGCAGTACAAGGATATAATGCCCGACGACCTACCCGCAGGAGTACCTCCAGCACGCACCCACGAGCACGAGATCGTGGAGGAACCAGGCGCGAAACCCGTCTCACGTGCACCATATCGACTGAGTTCGACTGAACTGACAGACATGAAAAAACAGATAGAGTATCTACTGGACAGACAACTGATCCGCCCATCCACCTCTCCCTACGGTGCACCAGTTCTCTTCACTCCAAAACCAGACGGCAGTCTTCAGATGTGCATCGACTACCGCGCACTGAACAAACAGACAGTTAAAAACAAATACCCCATTCCGCGCATCGACGACTTACTGGACCAACTACGTGGTGCAACAGTCTTCTCGAAGCTGGACCTACGGTCGGGTTACTGGCCGATCAAGATGGCGGACAACTCGATCCACAAGACGGCGTTCCGTACCAGATACGACTCCTACGAATACTTGGTGATGCCGTTCGGACTCTGCAACGCTCCAGCAACGTTTCAGGCGGAGATGAATCACATCTTACGACCCCTGCTGGACGAGTGCGTGGTAGTGTACCTGGACGACATTCTCATCTACTCCAAGAACATGAAGGAGCACGTGGAGCATATGCGGAAGGTGTTCGAGATCCTGCGGAAAAACAAGTTCTACGTGAAGCTGTCGAAGAGCGACTTCGCCCTGAAGAAGGTGCAGTTTCTCGGGCACATGGTGGGTGCCGAGGGCGTACACGTGGACCCGCGGAAAATCGAAGCCGTAAAGAAGTGGAAAGTACCGGAGAATGTGAAGGAGTTGCAGCAGATCCTAGGCTTCCCCAACTACTACAACAGGTTCGTGCCGCAGTACGCTAAGATAGCAGCGCCACTGAGCGACCTATTGAAAAAGGATACGCCCTACGAATGGGATACCCCTCATCAGCAAGCCATGGAGCAGCTACAGACAGCACTGACTACAGCGCCAGTACTCATCTTGCCGGATCCAGACAAGGACTACGTGGTGGAAGCAGATGCGAGTGACCAGGCAGTCGGAGCAGTACTGATGCAGGATCACGGACGCGGTTTACAGCCTATCGCCTACCTCAGTAAGAAGCTACACGGAGCAGAACTGAACTACCCCATCCATGACAAGGAAGCCTTAGCGATAGTCATAGCCTTCAAGGCGTGGAGGTGTTACCTAGAGGGAGCCAAGACTACAGTCTATACTGACCACTGCAGTCTCAAATACCTGAAGTCGCAGCCGACGCTCTCACGACGACAGGTGCGGTGGGTGGACTTCCTGGAAACTCACTTCCACTACGTCATCGTCTACAAGCCCGGGCTACACAACAAAGCAGACGCATTGAGCCACCCCGGACATGTAGCAGGCATCTAGCTCGACGGGATGAACCCTCTGCTCAAGGGTCTATTCCAACATGGGTACTCCGTGGACGCAGAGATCGCTACAGCACAGACAAAGAAGCTGTTACAGTGGGAGAAAGACCTAGCGGTAAGGAAGGGTTCAGGAAAGATTTGGGTACCAAATTACGCCCCGCTACGGCAGATCCTATTGGAGGAGTTTCACGACGTACCATACGCGGGACATTTCGGGAGCAAGAAGACGTTAGCAGGGATAGCGAAGTATTACTACTGGCTTGGGATGGCAGCAGACGTGCAGCAGTTCGTCACCTATTGCGACACGTGCCAGCGGATGAAGAGTAGCAAGCAGAAAAAAGCAGGGTTACTTCAGCCTCTACCCATACCGGAGCAGCCATGGCAGGTCGTTAGCCTCGACTTCATCACAGGACTTCCTTCGACCTCACGCGGACATGATTCCATCCTCGTAGTCATCGATAAATTCTCCAAAATGGGTCACTTCATACCGACCAACGCCACAGCTACAGCTGAAACAACTGCTCGCCTCTTCTTCGACCGCATCATCACCATCCACGGCATCCCTGCTACACTCATCTCAGAAAGAGACCCAAAATTCACCAGTAAGTTCTGGAAGGAGCTCATGGGACTATTGGGGACAAAGCTTGCAATGTCTTCAGCATACCACCCCCGGACTGACGGACAAACAGAGCGACTCAATCAAGTGGTTGAACAGTTACTGCGCACAGCTTGCAAGGACGACGTCAGCCACTGGGATACACAGTTACCAACCCTAGAGTTCGCTTACAACAACGCCTCACATGCGGCCACAGGGAAAACTCCTTTCTTCCTGTGTTACGGACGGGAACCACTCACACCACAGCAGCCAACCACACCGGCACACGTCCAAGCCGCACATGATTTCGTCACCACCATGCAGCAGCTATGGGAGAAGACTCAGCGACGACTCATCACGATGCAGACCTCCTAGAAGCAGTATGCCGATCGTCAGCGACGTGATCACTCAGTAGCAGTCGGAGATCAGGTGCTTCTTGACACGCGCAACTTGAACCTGTCTCACCTCCCATCCAAACTCCGGCCTCGCTTCTGTGGTCCTTTTCTCGTTGAGGCACAGGTGACACCAGTTACATTCCGCTTGCGCTTACCTTCTACTTGGAAGCTTCGCAATGCTTTCCATGTGCAGCTACTGAAACCCTACAAGGACCCCAACCAACAGTTCCAGGGACGGTAGCTACCGCCACCTCCACCTGTTCTTGTGCAGGATGAACCCGAGTACGAGATCGAGCGCGTTCTCTCTCATCGGCGCCGCGGCGGCAAGACCCTCGAGTTCTTGATACGCTGGAAGGGATACGACCCCACTGAGGACAGTTGGGTTGCAGAAGCTAATATGGGCAACGCACGCCGTGCTCTCAAGGACTATCTTGTCAAGAAGGGTGTATCTCATGCCACCCAGCTTTGAGGGGGGGACGTGTGAGAGTACGACGGCTTATGCCAGCTATGCTTGCTTGCCTTTACTTTATCATGCTATTTCTAGCATAGGATAATCATATGCATGCATGAATTGCTTGATTTCCTAGGCTAGGTGCTTTCCTATATTTTATTATAGTTATAGCACCGAACTAGGTTGCGTGCACCAAATTCTGGCTTTTCGATTACCACCGAATTGCCCTCTACCGAATTCGGTAAGGATCTGTTCGGGACGCTACGCTGCCCGCGGAACCTTCGCGTAACACCTGGTTACGGGGCCTTGTGTCGAGCCTATATATAGCCTCGTGTTGTACCCAGGTGATTCATTCAATTCGACTCAATTCTCATTCTCTTTTCTGAGCTCGATCCTAGATCCTCATAGTTCGTCACAGCTTTACACCTTCAGTCTTGGCTCTGGTTCTGTCTCGTGGAGGTCCACTCGTTCTTCTTCTGTGCTTGGCTCCAGCTGCGAGGCCGAGATCTACGCTGGGGCCATGGCTGCACAGGAGCTACGCTGGCTGACCTACCTGCTGACCGACTTGGGGGAGCGGCCTCGTTCTCCTCCAGTTCTGTACGTCGACAACAAGGCAATGCTTGCCTTGTGTCGCGAGCAGAAACTGGAGCACAGAACGAAACACATTGCTTTTCGCTACTTCCTTGCGCGTGAGCTGCAGCAGCGTGGTCAGCTGCGCCTTGCTTATGTGGCCTCTCGGGCCAACACTGCTGATGTCTTCACCAAGGCCCTTGGGTCTGGTGATCATCAGCGTTTCTGCACAGCTCTTGGTCTTGTGCCCATTCTGCCTCACCTGCTGGTTGCTTGACTTGCTCTTGTTGTAGACTGATATATATCTTTATTCCTGCTTGTTTACTCTTGCTAGGTTGTGATCAGTGTACTGCCTTGCTAGTATAACTCTGCATGTGAACTGGCCTTGTGACCGCTTGCTTTTGTTCAGAATGCGTGGTGACCTTGTGATCCACCCTGGGCTTTGCTTTGTTCTCTTGCCTGACTAATCTTGTGACCGTCTGTTGTGTTTACTATGTCAGATTTATATGACATAGCTACTGTAGGCTATAGTGGGGTAGCACATATGGGGTACAGTTTTCTAGGGTTTGTACTTGTACCCAACTTTCCCTTAGTCATTCCATTCTCGTTCAGTTTCTCATGGTATCGAGCAGGTTCCCCTGTGGGAACTGTTCCTAGGGCCCACCACCTTTTTTTTCCTGCCCGGAGCGCGCTCTACACTGCCCGAGTCGCGCTCCCCTCTCCCGGCCCCGTCGCGCCGCCCTTTCGACCCTGTCGCGTTGCGCTTGCGGGCCCGTCGCGTCGCCCTCACGACCCCTTCACGTCGCGCCGCCCTAGCGGCCGCGTCGCTCCGCCCTCGCGGCCTCGATCTGCCGCCCTCGCGGATTCGTCGCGTCGCGCTGCCCTCGCGGCCCTTTCACGCCGCCCTCGCGGCCCTTTCACGCCGCCCTCGCGGCCCTTTCAAGCCGCCCTCGCGGCCCTTTCACGCCGCCCTCGCGGCCCCTCCAAGCCGCCCTAGCGGCCTATTCAAGCCGCCCTCGCGGCCCCTCCTAGCCGCCCTAGCGGCCCCGTCGCCTACCCCTACAGCCCCGGCGCCGCCCTTCCCTGCCTCGGCGCCGCCTCTGCTGGCCCCGTCGCCTACCCCTGCGGCCCCGGAGCTGCCCTTCCCGGCCCCGGCGCCGCCTCTACTGGCCCCGACGCCGCTCCACACCCGGCCCCGCCGCTCTACCCGGCCCCGACGCCACTCCACCCGGCCCCAACGCCGCTCCACCCGGCCCCGACGCCGCTCCACCCGGCCTCGCCGCCGTCCCCACGCGGCCCCGCCGTCACCACCGAGCTGCCGGCGCCACCGAGCTGCTGCCGAGCCGTCCGACCCACCCGAGCCGCCCGAGCCGCCGCACCACCTGAGCCGCCCGAGCCGCCAAGTCGCCGAGCCGCCAAGTCGCCGAGCCGCAGTTGCTGCCGAGCCGCCGTACCGCCGAGCCGCCCGAGCCGCCCGAGTCGCCGAGCCGCCGAGCCGCCCGAGCCGCCCTGTCCGGTAAGAGCAGCGCCTCTGTCACTGCAGTGCCCTAACCCTGCTGTTCGCGCTGCTAGTCTACTGCTGTCATGGCAACCCCTAGTGTCCTCGCTTTTGACGCTGAGGGTCGGGCCATTGACTTTGACGTCTGGGTAGATGACCTGCAGCTTTTCCTACAGTGCGATAGGGCAGACGGTCTCTCCCTCTTTGACCTCACCTCTGGTGCCTCTCTTGCCCCTGCTGCTGATGCTGACGCCACTGTTCGCTCACAGTGGGCCACACGCGATGCTGCTGCACGTCTTGCTGTGCGTCGCCACCTGCCTACCTCTGAGCGTGCGCACTTTAGCCAGTACAAGAGTGCTCAGACCTTGTACGACGCAGTAGTTGAGCGCTACTCCTCCCCTGCCACTGCTGCACTGAGCCGCCTCATGCTACCGTACCTCTTCCCTGACCTTAGTCGCTGACCTCATTACGCACCTCCGCACTAGTGACACTCGCTACCGCGCTGCGCTTCCTGCTGAGTTCTCCACCAAGAACCCCCCCCCCCCCATGTACATCACTCTCTACTTTTTAGTCACTCGCCTCCTTGACTCCCTTCGTGTAGTCAGGGACCACTTCCTCTCAGTTTGCCCCACCACTCTCACCGTTGTTGACCTCCTCGAGAAGGCCCTCCTAGCAGCGGAGAAGAGCATAGTCGCTGTAGGAGCCTCTCGTGGTGAACCTCGCACCCCCATCTTAGAGGGGTGTTCCCCCTCCCCCCTTTTGCCCTCTGTTGCCTCTGCTGCTGCGGCCGACCTCGTTGGGCTTGACTCGATCGGTGCGGCGTCTACCCCTAGCGAGAGACGCCGCCCTGGCAAGGGCAAGGGGGGCAGGGGCGCTGGAGGAGCTAGCGGGGGCGGTGGAGGCGGCGGTGGAGGCGGCGGAGGGAGTGGGGGTGGCGGTGGGGGTGGTGGCGGGGGTGGAGGTGTCGGTGGCGGCAGTGGAGGCGGAGGAGGCGGCGGTGGCGGTGGGAGCGGAGGTGGTGGCGGAGGTGGCGGCGGTGGAGGAGGCGGTGGCGGAGGAGGTGGAGCTGGTCGGGGTGGCGCTGCGCAGAGGGTCGGCTCCGGTGGAGGTCAGCGCCAGCAGCAGCAGCAGCAGCGCACTCGTGACATCCCCTCCCCACAGCAGCTCCGTGAGTGGTACACTGCACGCCAGCGGGGTGGGATTACTGGTCCGTGCACCTACGTCCTACGCACCGGCGACCGCGCGGGTGAGCAGTGCGGGGGTGCGCACTCCACCCAGCGCTGCTTTGGCCGCCTGACGGACGCTTGGCGTCACCAGTTCCCTGAGGCCACGGAGATCCCCCGCTGGGGTGAGCTGTCTAGGGCGGGAGTAGCTGTCTTTGACCTTGACTTTGATGCTATTCTTGCTGCCATGTATGCTGTGACTATTAGTGATGAGGGTGACTGTTACCGGTGTTTTCCGCCCGACCCGGGCATTGAGACTGCTGCTCTAGGTACTGGTGAGGCTGCTGCTCTAGGTGCTAGCAAGGCTGCTGCTCTAGGTGCTCGTGCGTCTGCTCCCTCAGGTGCTGGTGAGTCTGCTCTCTCAGGTACTGCGTCGGCTTCGGCCTCCCACACCTTCACCCTTGACTCGGGGGCTTCTCGCTCCTTCTTTCGAGACCGCACCACACTCACGCCGCTCGGCCGGCCAGTTGCAATCTCTCTGGCAGACCCCTCTGGGGGTCCTGTCCTTGCTCACTTCTCCACTATCCTCCCGTGTCCGGCGGCCCCCTCTGGCACCCTGTCTGGTCTTTACCTCCCCTCGTTCTCTACGAACTTGGTGAGTGGTGCTGACCTTCAGGATGCGGGGGTTCACCAGTTCACTCCTGCTAGTCAGCGGGTGACACACTGCACGGACGCTCGGACAGGCCGACACCTGGCCACGTTTACACGTCGGCCGGGGTCGAGCCTGTACACACTGACCACTGCGTCTCCTCCAATCACTGCGTCTAGTCAAGTAGCTGCGTCGGGTCAGGTGTTTGCTGCAGCGTCCAGGTCTGGTCCTGAGTCTGCCCCCTGCTCGTGTCGCCTCCTGTCTCACGAGACTCTCCTCTGGCACCACCGCCTTGGTCACCCCTCCCTGCTTCGTCTCCGATGGCCTCCCGTGTCCTTGTCTCTGGTCTTCCCCGGTCCCTCCCTCCCCTTCCTCCGGGGCCTGGCCCTACCTGCGTCCCCTGTGTCGAGGGGCGGCAGCGGGCTGCCCCTCACTCCTCCCAGTTTGCTCCGACAGAGGCCCCGCTGTAGACGCTTCACATGGACGTGTGGGGCCCGGCCCGCTTCCGTGGACAGGGTCACGAGCGCTACTTCCTGCTGGTGGTTGACGACTACTCGCGTTACACCACAGTCTTCCCCTTGCGCAGCAAGGGTGATGTCACTGAGGTGTTGATCGACTGGATCCGCGCAGCTTGTCTCCAGCTCAGGCAGAGCTTCGGCTCGGACTTTCCTGTTCTGCGTCTGCACTCTGACAGAGGCAGAGAGTTGTCCTCTGGCCTTCTGCGAGCCTACTGTCGTGCACGAGGCATCCGCCAGACCTTCACGCTTCCGGACTCTCCACAGCAAAATGGGATTGCTGAGCGCCGCATTGGCATGGTCATGGACGTCGCCCGTACGTCCATGATGCATGCGGCTGCCCCCCATTTTCTGTGGCCGTTTGCGGTTCGGTACGCGGCGCATCAGATCAACCTTCACCCCAGGGTCTCCATGCCGGAGACCTCCCCAGCTTTGCTGTGGACGGGGAAGGTTGGCGATGCGTCTGCGTTCCGTGTCTGGGGATCTCGGGCGTTTGTTCGCGACTTGTCTGCGGACAAGCTGTCCCCTCGTGCTGCTCCTTGCGTCTTCCTTGGCTTCCCCCCTGACGCGCTAGGGTGGCAGTTCTACCACCCCACCTCTCGCCGTGTTCTGTCCTCCCAGGACGTCACGTTTGACGAGTCGGTCCCCTACTATCGCCTCTTCCTCTACCGCACTCTGTCCCTCCCACCGCCGCCGCTCTTCCTTTTACCAGGTCCCCCCCCCGGTAGACCCCCTCCCCCCTCAGGGTCCTGCCCCTTCAGGTTTGTCCCAGGTAGACGCAGTCGAGCCTGTCGAGGTTACTGGTGACTCTGGTGCTGCTGAGGGTGCTGAGCCTGGGGGTGCTGACTCTGGGGGTGCTGAGCGTGTGGGTGCTACGCCTGGGGGTGCTGAGCCTGAGGGTGCTACTTCTGGGGGTGCTGAGCCTGGAGGTGCTACCACTAAGGGTGCTGAGCCTGGGGGTGCTACGCCTGGGGGTGCTTAGCCTGGGGGTGCTACGCCTGGAGGTGCTGAGCCTGGGGGTGCGGAGCCTGAGGGAGCTGGGCTTGCTCGTGTGGCGTGTGGCGGTGCTGGGCTTGGAGGTTCTCCGGGTGCTTCATCTCGACGGGAGCCACTCTCTCCACAAGAGCTGCACAAGTGGTTTGCCCGGCTCTGGAGGCGTGCTGCTGGAGCTGGAGGTTCTTCGGCTGTTGAGGGTGCTGGTGCCGCGGGTCCCGGAGGTGCTCGTACTGGGAGTACTGGAGCTGCTAGGCCTGCGGGTACTTTTGGAGTTGGAGCTGCTGAAGGTGTTGGCGCTGAGGCTACTGCTGTCGGTCGTGGAGGAGGTCTAGCTGGGGGTGCTACTGGTGCTGCAGGAGGTACTGGAGCTGGAGGTGCTGCTGGCGCTGGTGCTGCCTCTGGGGGTACTGGTGCTGTCCGTGCTGTGTCTAGAGTCGCCGCGCGGCCTCGGTCGTACTTCGTTCCGCTCCTTCAGCAGGTGCTTGGTCTCCCGCCTTCTACTGGTCCTCCTCCCTTAGAGTGCCCACAGCCTGTCCCATCACAGTCACAGTTACAGCCGGCCTCCCCACTGCCTGCTCCATCTCCCTACACTGGTCCTACTGGAGGTCTTCTTGAGCGTTGTGAGCCTGCGTCGCCTGTCCGTCCTGCTCGTACTAGTGGTCGTGGTTCGCGTCAGCGTCCTCCTCCTGTGCCTGGCACGCACCGGATGTCTCTCCTCCTCTACGTGCCCCTTTGCCTTTTCCTCAGTCCTCGCTTCCTGCTCTTGCCAACCCGGAGTCGGACACTCTTCGTGCTGCCACTCCTACTGTCACGCGTCTCCTTGCTACTCTCGTCACTGACCCTTCCTTTGAGTCCACTGCTGCGTCTGCCCTAGTTTCTGAGCTCGTCGACTTCGCTGCTCGCTGTCGTCTAGACTACGCTGCTAGTCTTGTCGCTGAGTTTGAGTCTCTCTATCCTCCGTCCGTCGGGGGTGAGTGTGCCCTTGGCACGGACGTCCTTGAGGACAGGCAGGAGGAGTTCCAGTGTTTGGCTGCTGCTTCACCTCATCTCGTGTCCGTACTGCTTACCCCTGAGGGAGACCTGGATGCACTTGACATCCCGACTCCGCGCTCTTATGCAAAGGCGATAGAGGGTCCCTACTCCTCTCAGTGGCAGGCAGCTATGGATGCAGAGATGGCTTCCTGGAAGTCCACAGGCACCTACGTTGACGAGGTTCCCCTGCCTGGGGCGAACATCGTCACTGGCATGTGGATTTTCAGGGTGAAGCGGCCGCCGGGTTCTCCGCCTGTCTTCAAGGCGCGTTACGTGGCTCATGGCTTCAGTGAGCGGCAGGGAGTTGACTACTTTCAGACCTTCTCTCCCACCCCGAAGACGACCACTCTTCGGGTACTGCTGCACATAGCTGCTCACCGTGACTACAAGCAGCACTCTCTTGACTTCAGCACTGCTTTCTTGCAGGGCAGCCTGCACGAGGAGATATGGCTGCGTCGCCCACCTGGTTTCACTGGGTCTTTTCCTCCTGGCACCCAGTGGAGCCTCCGGCGGCCAGTCTACGGTCTCCGCCAGGCACCGCGTGAGTGGCACGACACACTGAGGACTACACTTGCGGCTCTTGGGTTTGCTCCCTCTACTGCTGACCCGTCGCTGTTTCTACGCACCGACACCTCTCTACCGCCGTTCTACATCCTCGTGTACATCGACGACTTGGTCTTTGCCACAGCTGACACTGCTGGACTCGCCCACGTGAAGTCCGAGCTGCAGAAGAGACACACGTGCATAGACCTGGGTGAACTGCGCAGCTACCTTGGCTTGCAGATCACCCGGGACAGAGCACGCCGCACCATTACCCTGACTCAGTCACACATGGTGCAGCAGGTCCTTCAGCGCTTCGGCTTCACGTACTCCTCGCCTCAGGCCACTCCTCTGCCTACTCGCCACTCGCTCTCAACTCTGCCTTCGGATGAGTCCGTAGAGTCGAGTGGCCCGTACCCAAAGCTTGTTGGCTGCCTCATGTACCTGATGACCTGCACACGACCTGACCTTACATACCCTCTTAGCATTCTCGCACGCTATGTTGCTCCTCGGAGACACAGACCGGAGCACATGGCTGCAGCGAAGAGGGTGTTGCGCTACTTGTGCAGTACGTCGGGCATGGGGCTTGTGCTTGGAGGGCAGAGTCCAGTGGTCCTCACTGGGCACGCAGACGCTTCTTGGGCTGACGACCAGGCTACGCAGCGGTCGTCACAGGGTTACACCTTCAGCCTTGGTTCCGGCTCTGTTTCGTGGCGGGCTATTCGCTCGTCTTCTGTTCTCGGCTCCAGTTGTGAGGCTGAGATCTACGCAGGGGCCATGGCTGCTCAGGAGCTTCGCTGGCTCACCTACCTGCTGACTGACCTTGGAGAGCCGCCTCGTTCTCTTCCAGTGCTGTACGTAGACAACAAGGCCATGCTAGCCTTGTGTCAAGAGCAGAGACTGGAGCACAGAACGAAGCACATTGCTCTCCGCTACTTCCTTGCTCATGAGCTACAGCAGCGCGATCAGCTTCGCCTTGCGTACGTGGCCTCTGAGGCCAACACTGCTGATGTCTTCACCAAGGCACTTGCGCCTTGTGATCATCAGCGCTTCTGTACTCAGCTGGGTCTTGTGCCTGCCTTGCCTCACTTGCTCACCTCTTGAACTTGTTTGTACTGTTGCATATATATATACACCTGCTCTTGCTTGTCTAGCCTTATATATATATGTAATCCTGCATGTGAACTGGCCTTGTGGCCTTGAACTTGTGCTCGGAATGTGTGGTGACTTTGTGATCCACCCTGAGCTTGCTTTGCTTTGCTTGACTGGTCTTGTGACCCCTTGTTCTCCCCCACTTTGTCTATGGGGGTGTGTCAGATTTATATGACATAGCTACTGTAGGCTATAGTGGGGTAGCACATATGGGGTACAGTTTTCTAGGGTCTGTACTTGTACCCAACTTTCCCTTAGTCATTCCATTCTCGTTCAGTTTCTCATGCTATCCCCCGCTTAGCCTATGGGGGTGTGTCAAACTCTATGCTTGTGTTATCTCTAAGCTATAGTGGGTTAGCCTACAAGGGGTACAACACTTTAGGGTTAGGTACGTGTACTCATGCATGCTACCTAATCCATCGTTCCTGCCTGCTTATTCTAACACAAAACAGTCGCCCGGACCTTCATCCAGGTACCATATACGAAATTTTGTAATGAATTGAAAATTGCATTAGTTAAGACCGCGTAGGACACCGTTAGACGAGCCAAGCCATACCTCGCAGTTTAAGGGTGCACTCATATGGCGCGTCAATAAAGCACCACGTCTCAAAAGACGAGATACACCACGGTATAAATGTTTGATACAAATGTGTAATGTGGTGTAGAATGACATACTGGTTTCTCGCGATGAATCCGACTACAACGGGAGGTGAAGTATGTTGGAGGTTGGGATGCTACGGGGTGATCGAGGCGTTGTATATGTTATCAATTGAAAAAAAGGGGGGGGGGAATAATAAAATTGCAGGTGCTGTTCGCCAGCACCTTTGAAGCCAAACCCACGGGATAACGACAGGATCAAGAAGGTGGGTCTCGCCTTCCTGATCCCGTCAGTTAGGGTTCGTTTACCTCCGTTAGCCTGGTTAGCCTGTAAAAAATCTGCCGAGCCTCCCCTACCGTCCAAACCAAAAACCAAAGTGGGGGTCTGGCGAACGCCCCCATTTGTCGATCAAATCGAACGGCTCGACGGCATATGGAAGCGGGGACGCAACTTCGTCCACAGGCAAAATTCCATCCCCAAGCTAAGCCATCGCCATCCCCCGTTTTTCAAAGGACAGCGATGGCATTGCCATTGCATTGCCGTTCAGAGGGGAACCTCTGAACGAGCCATTTGTTTGACAAATGGGGGTTCGTATACCCCCCATTTCCCCCCTCCCGAACGCACCCTCGATGTGCACGAGGTGACGGGGGTGGTATTTGAGCATGGTTGGGTTTTCTTTGCGTTTTTTACCCACATTGAGTACTTTTTGGCCCGCGGGCAGGCTGTGGTCAGTGAAGCTAAAAGTTCGCGCCATCGGGGGGAAGGTGGGGATGGAGGTTCTTTATGCGGTTGCGTAATTTTGCCTTTCGGGCGCATAAGTTTCTCGAGTGGCATTACGCCCAAACCTCGGAGGTGGGTTCCGCCTTCGTTTCCAGATGCGGTCGCGATGCCGATGCCATCTTTTTCATTTCAAATTGCGTTTTGCTGGCGAACAGCACCATAATGGCGTGGCAAAGTCGATATACATAGGAGGGCAATGCAACACAATGAGCAGCCTAGCAAGGCAACTTCTAGCATACACGAATGCGGCTTGCCAACGCCGTAGAAAGGCGGCGTAACAATGCAGCTCGAAGGTGGCGTGTGTGCAAACGCTATAGCAAGACGGCTTGGCAGCATTGCACCAAATCAGCCCGCCAGCTTTGCAGTCATAGGTGAACAAGCACGCACATATGTGTCACTTACCAAGTAGGTGCTGGTCTCCACAACAATTGCGTGCACGTTATGCACGTAATGCATTTTGGGCATATGCCAGGTTGTATGGTGCGTAATGCTCGTCCTGCATGTCAAATTTTGTCAAATTTTGTCAGAAGTCCGCTGACTAGTTACTTGGTCGAATAGAAGAAGATGGTCAGCCGACACCGACGGTCGGTCGACGCCCGTAAATTGGTATGCGTAGGTAGGTGCTGTTTCGACGATCACTTTCGTCGACCGCCGAGGCTCGACACTGTCCGGCGACTTCATATCGTCAGATTCATCGTGGTTGGCTTCACCGAAGTTGACAAGCAAATCTTGTTTATTTCATCCTCCAAGCCGGCATCGACCAGAAAGCGCAGCCAGCAGGATGCACACCTATCGCACCGGACAGCGAAGTCGGCTTCGCCCAAGCGAGAGCATGACATTTTTTTCGTCAAAAAAATTGTGACGCCCAAAACGAAGACATATCTTCGAAGGAATGCACCCTAAGGCTGATTCTGCACACGCGTCAGAGCTAGCCTGAACTTCATTACGAACATTGCACAATATGGGTCTCATTTTATATGTTACCATTTTACGAGTCTCATCATTTAGGGTTCGCTCATTCCTTCACATCTCTTGATTCCAATTCCCGTTTTGCTCGTTCCTTTGTATTCGCAGCATCATTGCAAACACGATAATGTCATAGCTTAGAGTTTAGCTTAAACCTATTTTGTAACCCAACCATATATTGTATGACGGATGGGCCAATGCAAGAGCACTCAATAAGCGGAACTTTCCGAACAGGCTCCAAAATGCTGCAAAGCTCCTTCTTGAGAAACTGATTTGCGTGATCCGATAGTCTGCTTTAGTGACAGTTCGACCAGCACGATGAACGCGGATAATCGACGAGGGGAGATGGCGGACGTGAAGATGCAGCTGGGTCAACTCGCGGGAAGCAGGTCAGTCGCGTGCGGCGATCTGGACGGTATCGCTGTGCGAGGGACGGCCGAGATAATTTTACCAGCTTTAGACGGTTGCTTTTTGTTGTCGATTCGCGGGCAACTGTCCTCAATGGGGATCAGATTAGGTCAGTATGGGTCGGCTTTATTAGAAATTCGTGGAAGGGAAGTCGAGAGTGTACAGGCTGGTGCGCAGTCCTGATCTTCGTGTAAACAGAGTTGTTTTGCGACGTCTCAAAACAGTCCTACGCCTCCTCGCATCCCCCCCTCCTTCCCCTCGCATCCCCCCCTCCTTCCCCTCGCATCCTCCCATCAGGGCGCCGGGAGCGGCGGAGATGCGGCGAGAGCTCTTCAAGAAGGTCATATCGCACATGACCATCGGGATTGACGTCTCGTCCGTCTTCAGGTACGCGTAGTACCCACCCTGTGACTCGATGATGACTGTCTAGTCGACTCAAAAGTGATCTTTTGAGTCCACTCAAAAGCACATGACTATAGGGATCGAGGTCTCCTTCGTCTTTAGATACGCGTTATAGCCACCATGGGACTCGGTGCTCGCTTTTACAGGCATACCCATCATAGCCTTTATGGTCACTGTGACTCCTGTCACGACCATTATGATCCCCATAATTCACTTGTCAGATCCCTGCATTCGTCTGCCGACCGACTTACTTCCCGACTGCACTCTTTGTTCTTGCAAGGGATGAATACCATTGTACCACCAAGCTGAGCCTCACTGAACACTTCCTTTCTCCTTGTCACCACTTATCACCGCTTGTCACCTCGTACCACATCCCATCACCGCACATCACCGCGCTGCACCGTGCAGCGAGATGGTGATGTGCAGTGCGGCGTCGGACCTGGTGGTGAAGAAGATGTGCTACCTCTACGTTGCCACCTACGCCGCCACCAAGCCCGAGCTCGCCCTCCTCACCATCAACTTCCTGCAGCGCGACTGCCAGGTGCATGTGGGCTGGTTTGGGCAGGTGGGGGAAAGATCGTCATGATGGTGAATATTGTCATGTATGGATATATGGGTCCCACCAAGCCCGAGCTCGCCCTCCTCACCATCAACTTCCTGCAGCGCGACTGCCAGGTGCATGTGGGCTGGTTTGGGCAGGTTTGGGCAGGTGGGGGGAAGATCGTCATGATGGTGAATATTGTCATGTATGGATATATGGGTCCCACCAAGCCCGAACTCGCCCTTCTCACCATCAACTTCCTGCAGCGCGACTGCTAGGTAATGCCAGGTGCGAGGCGGTGTGGGGAGGCGTGGGGACGTGTGAGAAGGTGTGGGTGTGGGAAGGTGTGAATATTGTCAAGTATGGGTCTATCTATGGGTCCCACCAAGCCTGAGCTCGCTCTCCTCACCATCAACTTCCTGCAGCGCGACTGCCAGGTCAGGGCAGCTGTGGGCAGGAGTGGGCTGCCCTCCTTGTCGCTTCCTCCCGCTCTTCCCCTGCCGTCTCCCCCCATATCACAGGACGATGACCCAATGATTCGGGGCCTAGCCCTGCGCAACCTGTGCTCTCTGCGAGTGCGGGGCTGGTGGAGTACCTGGTGGGACTGCTGGAGAGACGGCTGAGATGCTTCTTTTCCCACCATCTCTTCAATTCTTTCCGCCAGGATGACGACCCCATGATTCGAGGCCTGGCCCTGCGCAACCTGTGCGCCCTGCGGGTGCGCGGGCTGGTGGAGTATCTCGTGGGCCCGCTGGAGCGAGGGCTGGGGGACGTGAGTGCGTACGTGCGGGCACTGGCGGTGATGGGCGTGCTGAAGCTGTATCACCTGGCCCCTGGGGTGTGCCGCGAGCATGGGTACTTCGGTATGCTGAAGAGGAAACTCACAGACGACCCAGATGCGCAGGTGAGGTTTGGGTTGGGCGTCAAGTTAAAAGGCCGCTGGAGCGATGGCTGGAGCGAGGGTTGGGGGACGTGAGTGCGTATGTGAGGGCAGTGGCGGTGATGGGCGTGCTGAAGCTCTACCACTTGGCGCCTGTGGTGTGCCGCGAGCATGGATTATGGATACATAGGCATGCTCAAGAGGAAGCTCACAGACGACCCAGATTCACAGGTGAGTGGAGTCAGATATTTATTGGAGTGAGGGCTCAAGCTGTACCACCTGGGCGGGGGATGTGCCAAGAGCTCTGGAGTCTTGGCATGCTCAAGAGGAAGCTCACAGACGACCCAGATGCGCTGATGCGCTGGGTTGTTGTGGTTTGACTCAGAGTCTTTTGTGGCTATATGTGTGAGTGAGCGCACTACAGGAGGTGCTGTCAGGGGAACCTGCCTGTCTCCCTTCCCCGTCCCTCCCCTCCCCTCCTCTCCAGTCGATGGCTGAGCCAATTGTGTTCCCTCCTCCAGAATTCCTCCTCTCTGCTCCTCCCTCTCCTCCCCTTTTCCCCTGCCCGCTCCTCCCAGGTGGTGGCCAATTGCGTGAGTGCGCTACAGGAGGTGCTGGCAGGGGAATCGTTGGCACAAGACTTCACACCTCTCTCTCCCCGCTGCCCTCTTTGCACTATCCTCGCCCCCTTCTCCCTCCATCCCTCCAGGTGGTGGCCAACTGTGTGAGTGCGTTACAGGAGATACTGGCAGGGGAATCGCTGGCAGAGGATGGAGATCCTGAGGCCGTGAGGGACCGTGACATGCTGCACAGCCGCGCGCTCGTCTTCTCCCTGCTCAATCGGTACGTGCTTCGAGGCACCTCGGAAATTGTCTAAAAGTAGATCCCGTCCCGAGGCTGTAAGGGACCGTGGTGACATGCTGCAGACCCGCGCCTTGGTCTTCACCCTGCTCAACCGGTATGGCTATCTTTCAACTTCTGAGACGTCTCAAAAGTCTTTGGCCTGCTCAACTGGTATGGCTATCTTTCAAAACGTGTGTGTTCACCTTTTTGTTTGGAAACGTCTAGGTTGAAAAACGTATGTGCACACTTTAGCACACGTGCACAACATGCAGGGCGTGAGGCTACTGCCCCATGACACGCCGTGTATGCTGCTGGAGAACCGCCTGCACCTGCATGTCTGCCACTCCACTCCACCCCGCAAAAACCTTTTCTACCTCCGCTCAACTCTCTCCACCCCCCAACAATCCTCTCCACCCCTTTCTGTCCTCCATCCATTCCAGTATGAAGGAGATGAGTGAGTGGGCGCAGTGCACGGTGCTAGACCTGGCATCTCGCTACACGCCCTCGCACCCAGACGAGGCCTTTGACCTCATGAACCTGCTCGAGGACCGCCTGCACCTGCACGCTTGCCACTCCCCTCCACCGCTTAACAACCCTTTCTAACCCCTTGACAAACCTCTCCACCTGTTCCAACCACCTCCCACCCCTACCCCCCTTCCATTCAATTCAGCATGAAGGAGATGAGTGAGTGGGCGCAGTGCACGATCCTAGACCTGGCATCGTGCTACACGCCATCCCACCCAGACGAGGCCTTTGACCTCATGAACCTGCTGGAGGACCACCTGCAGCTGCATGCGTGCCACTGCTCTCCAGACTCCACCGCTTTACAACCCACTCAAATCCCACTCAACCCTTTCCAGCAAACCTTTTCACCGCTCACCCCGTTCCCATTCACAGAATGAAGGAGATGAGTGAGTGGGCGCAGTGCACGGTACTCGATCTGGCATCGCGCTACACCCCAGCCCACCCAGACGAGGCGTTTGACCTCATGAACCTGCTCGAGGACCGCCTGCAGCACGCCAACAGCGCTGTTGTGCTCGGCACCGCCAAGCTCTTCCTGCACCTCACACTCTCCATGCCTGACGTGCATCACCAGGTGGGTGAATGATTGGGTAGGCACGTGGGCGCGAGGGAGGGTTGGGTGGGGGCCTGGTGGGTGGGTGGCTGAGTGGGTGCGTGGGAGGGTGTGGCTTGCTCTCTGCACGTGGCTGTGTGTGCGTGCTGTATGTGTGTGTGCTATATGTGTGTGCTGTATGTGTGTGTGCTATATGTGTGTGCTGTATGTGTGTGTGCTGTATGTGTGTGCTGTATGTGTGAGTGCTGTATGTGTGTGTGCTGTGTGTGTGCTGTATGTGTGTGCTGTATGTGTGTGTGCTGTATGTGTGTGTGCTTTATGTGTGTGCTGTATGTGTGTGTGCTGTATGTGTGTGCTGTATGTGTGTGTGCTGTATGTGTGTGCTGTATGTGTGCTGTATGTGTGTGCTGTATGTGTGTGTGCTGTATGTGTGTGTGCTGTATGTGTGTGTGCTGTATGTGTGTGTGCTGTATGTGTGTGTGCTGTATGTGTGTGTGCGTTGCTGTATGTGTGTGCTGTATGTGTGTGTGCTGTATGTGTGTGTGCTGTATGTGTGCTGTATGTGTGTGTGCTGTATGTGTGTGTGCTGTATGTGTGTGTGCTGTATGTGTGCGAGGCCTTTGACCTCATGAACCTGCTCGAGGACCGCCTGCAGCACGCCAACAGCGCCGTTGTCCTCGCCACTGCCAAGCTGTTCCTGCGCCTCACACTCTTCAAGCCAGTCGTGCGCCTCCAGGTGGGTGGGTGGGTGAGTAGGTGGGTGTGGGTGTGGCTGCATGCGCTGCTCTCTGTGTGTCTAGTTCTTTCACCTGTTCCCGCTTCCCAGGAAGCTAACTGATTCCGCAGGTATGAACAACTCGAATTCCTGCTTTCCAGACCAATTACCGTGCTCAGTGCGGCACACACACGAGCACTCATCCTTTGCTCTCCCAGACCATGTGCAGTGACACCAGGTGACACCATGTGCAGTGACACCAGGTGACACCATGTGCCAGGTGACACCATGTGCAGTGACACCAGGTGACACCATGTGCAGTGACACCAGGTGACACCATGTGCAGTGACACCAGGTGACACCATGTGCAGTGACACCAGGTGACACCATGTGCAGTGACACCAGGTGACACCTCTCTCTCTCTCTCTGCTTATCTCCTGACCCACTTTTTCCCTCTTTCAAGGCAGCTACACTTACTGCTTCTCCCTGCCTCTGTCCCCCATGTATGCCTCCCCGTTGCGTTGCCAGGTATACGAGCGCATCAAAACCCCTCTGCTCACGCTAGTGGGCACATGCAACACGGAGCAGTCCTACGCGGTCCTCTGCCACCTCTCCCTGCTCGTCTCACCCTTCCCATCCGTCTATACTATCACTTTGTTTCCCTGCCGTTTCAGGTGTACGAGCGCATCAAGACCCCGCTGCTCACGCTAGTGGGCACGTGCAGCACAGAGCAATCATACGCGGTCCTCTGCCACCTCTCCCTGCTCGTCTCGCGCTGCCCGGCTGTGTTCGCCGGGGACTACAAGCACCTGTACTGCAAGGTCCGCGACCCGCCCTATGTGAAGCGCCTCAAGCTGCACATGCTGACAGCTATCGCGAATGACAGCAACACATATGATATTGGTGAGGGCTGGGAGGGAGAGGGACGGGGGTTGGAGTGATTTTGAACGGAATTGGGAGGGAAGCGTAGTGTGGGAGGGCTGGAAGGGAAAGCGAGGAGCAGGTGGGAGGTGTGGTGGGGGGAGTGGAGGTGGAGTGGGTTTGTGGAGCAGGAGGGGAGAATATCTGCGAGTAACTGAGAGTGATGTTGTGACGTTGCCTGACTCATTCCTTCTTATTCAGTGACGGAGCTGACAGAGTACGCTGTGGATGTGAACACGCCCCTCACCCCTACCCCGTTCGTCTTCCTCCCTTCCCTCCTTATCAGTTACGGAGCTGACAGAGTACGCTGTGGCTGTGGATGTGTCCATTGCACTGGAGGCCATACGAGCGGTGGGGCAGATAGCATTGCAGAGCTATGATGCCCCTCACCCCTCCTTCCTGCTTCTCTTTTCCCACCCCGCTCCTTCTTGCCCAGTGACGGAACTGACAGAGTATGCAGCGGATGTGGATGTGTCCATAACACGCCACTCGAGCGGTGGGGTAGACAGCACTGCCGAGACCTTCAGTTGGAGCGGCATTGGTGTATGGTAGCGCGGCCCATTCACATCCCTTGTCCTTCTCCCCCACCGCCACCATCAGTGACGGAGCTGACAGAGTATGCAGCGGACGTGGATGCATCGATCGCACGTGAGGCCATCCGCGCAGTGGGGCAGACAGATAGCGCTGCAGAGCTACGATGTAAACGCGCCTCATTCCTTCCCTTCGTTCCCTTCCCTCCCCCCCGCGCCCCGCCTCGTCCTCTCCTCCTTGCTCAGTGACGGAGTTGACAGAGTGTGCTGCAGATGTGAACACGGCCCTCACCCCTCACCCCTTCGTCTCCCTCCCCTCCCTCCACGCTTAATACCCAGTGACGAAGCTGACAGAGTATGCAGCGGACGTGGATGTATCGAACGCACGTGAGGCGATCAGGGCAGTGGGGCAGATAGCGCTGCAGAGCTACGATGTGAACGGCATTGTGGACCGGCTCATTCCATCGCTTCCTTACCCCTCCCACCCCGCATGACTCAGTGACGGAGCTGACAGAGTACGCTGCGGATGTTGATGTGTCCATTGCACGAGAGGCCATACGAGCAGTGGGGCAGATAGCATTGCAGAGCTACGATGTGAACGGCATTGTGGACCGGCTGCTGCAGTTCCTGGAGATGGACACTGACTATGTCACTGCGGAGACTCTGGTATGGGTGGGGTATGCATCGGTGATTGTAATGGAAAGCAGATGCCCTCGCAGTGAGTGTGTTGGTGGGTGGGTGCAACGGTGGGACCATTGTGGGCCGCCTGCTGCAGTTCCTGGAGATGGACACGGACTATGTCACTGCGGAGACCCTGGTACGGGTGGAGGGATGTGGTACGGGTGCCCCAGCAATGAGGGTGTGGTGTGGGTGGGTGTGAGCAGTGAGGGTTCACTGGCACCATTGTGGGCCGCCTGCTGCAGTTCCCTGAGATGGACACCGTTTATGTCACTGCGGAGACCCTGGTGGGTGGGGGGGTATGTGGTCTGGATGACACCGACCATGTCACTGCGGAGACCCTGGTGGGTGGGGGGGTATGTGGTCTGGATGACACCGACCATGTCACTGCGGAGACCCTGGTGGATGTGGGCCTGTTGGGGTTTGGGGGGTCACAATGGGGGTGGGAGTGTGCATATGCGGCAGTACATGAGGGGCATTGTGGGCCACCTGCTGCAGTTTCAAGAGCTTGACACTGATTATGTCACTGCGGAGACTCTGGTGTGTTCATGCGTGGCTGAGTCTGGATGATGATCAGGATTATGGTATGGGTCAGGGTTCTGGTATGGTATGGGTGCGAAAGCAGTCATGGTGTATGCGGGTGGGTGCACTGCACTGAAAGCCCACCTTGACCAACTCCAACAGACCCGCTTCGTGGGCCGCCTGTTTTTTTGAGAATTCTCAAAAACCCGCTTGGTGGGCCGCCTGTTGGAGTTCCTCTAGACGGACGCTGCTATGCCACCTCACAGACTCTGGTGGGTGTTTTGGCCTACAAGGGTATTCGCATGGCATTCAGGGCAGCAGACAGGTGGCATTGGTGGACTGGCTGACAGTGGGACTGACTGACAGGGGGACTGACTGACAGGGGGACTGACTGACAGGGGGACTGACTGACAGGGGGACTGACTGACAGTGGGACTGACTGACAGGGGGACTGACTGACAGTGGGACTGACTGAGAGGGGGACTGACTGACAGTGGGACTGACTGACAGGGGGACTGACTGACAGGGGGACTGACTGACAGTGGGACTGACTGACAGTGGGACTGACTGACAGGGGGACTGACTGACAGGGGGACTGACTGACAGTGGGACTGACTGACAGGGGGACTGACTGACAGTGGGACTGACTGACAGGGGGACTGACTGACAGGGGGACTGACTGACAGGGGGACTGACTGACAGGGGGACTGACTGACAGGGGGACTGACTGACAGGGGGACTGACTGACAGGGGGACTGACTGCTGGATTGCCTGGAGTACTCCAGTCTGCCGCTTCCACCACTCCCCTCCCCTCCTAACTTCCCCCCCCCCCAGGTGCTGGTGCGCGATCTGCTACGCAAGTACCCCAGTGGGCGCAGGATTGCCTAGCCGTGGTGGGCTCTGTGAGCTCTCGCAATGCCTTGGGCTCCAATTCAAACAATCCCTCTCGTCCCCTGCCCGTTCCCCTCCACTCCCCCCTTCCCCCAGGTGCTGGTGCGTGATCTCCTGCGCAAGTACCCCCAGTGGGCGCAGGACTGCATAGCCGTGGTGGGCACTGTGAGCTCTCTCCCCAGCTATGCGTCAGGCCCAGCAACATCCACTCTTCTCCCCATTCACTCTCCACTCTACACCCCCCCCTCTCCCCCCCATCAGGTGCTGGTGCGCGATCTCCTGCGCAAGTACCCCCAGTGGGCGCAGGACTGCATAGCCGTGGTGGGGTCTGTGAGCTCTCGCTCTGTCACCGACCCGCGGGCCAAGGCGGCGCTGGTGTGGATGCTGGGCGAGTACGGGCAGCACATGGGGGACGCTCCTTACACGCTTGAGGGTTTCGTCAACTCGTGGGAGGAGGAGACAAACGCCGAGGTAATGCTGGGACTGCACAGCACAGCGGCTTGGTTGGTACTGCGTGAATGGCCGACTCGCAGGCCAGGGCCGGTCTGCTGTGGATGCTGCGGGAGTATGGCCAGCACATGGGGCATGCGGCCTACGCCCTTGAAGGTTCTGTCAACTCGAGGGAGGGAGGAGAGCAACGCTCGAGGGAGGTAATCCTGAGATGTGCTTTGAGACGCTCCCAAGGGTACGACTCAGAGACGTGTTTTGAGAGGTCCCAATACCCATGGGAGGTGGAAAGAGGTTCTGTGGTAGGCTATGTGATGGTAATTGAAACACGCAATTGAGAAACCAACCCCTTCACACACACACACCACCTTCATCCCTTACCCGTTTCTTTCTCCTCCCCACCCTCACTCACGCTCACACAAACACACCACTCTTCTCTCCCATCTCCTCCTCTCCGTCTCACCTCCTTTCCTCTCCCTCCTAATCGCCCTCCTTCAGGTGCGTCTGGAGCTGCTAACAGCCGCGGCAAAGCTCTTCTTCAAGCTCCCCCCCTCCTCCCCTCCACTCCCCCAAATCCCCCCACACTCCCCACACTCACCACAATTCCTCTCACGCTCCTCACCACAATTCCTCTCACGCTCCTCGCCACAATTCCTCTCACGCTCCTCACCACAATTCCTCTCACGCTCCTCACCCACAATTCCTCTCACGCTCCTCACCACAATTCCTCTCACGCTCCTCACCACAATTCCTCACGCTCCTCCCCTCCCCAACCGCCCACCATGCAGGTGCGCCTGGAGCTGCTGACAGCCGTGGCAAAGCTGTTCTTCAAGCGTCCTCCCGAGTGCCAGAAGATGCTGGGCGCCGTGCTCGCCCATGGACTCGCTGAGTCACAGCAGGTGGGATGCGGTGCTGGCAGGTGGGGTGGGGATGCGGCGGGTCGAATGGGACGGGGATATGGGAAGTGGGGGGTGCGGTGCGGTGGGGTTGTGGCAGGTGTGACAATGCAGGTGTTGTGCTTTACCAGGCGCTGATTACTGCCTGCTGCTGAGAGCAGGTGTGGGGGTAGGTGGATGGAGTGGGAGAGGTGGACTGGGTTGGTTGATCAATTCTCAAAAGCACCCTGTGTGTCCACTCCCGAACCTGCACGTCCCCGGAAGCCCACCTTAGCATGCGCATGACCGGGCGCTACTCTATCACAGGCTGCTGTGGGTGGGTGTGAGTGTGGCAGAGCAAGTGATCAACCCAGAGAAACAACTGCGTGATGATTGACCCTTTCCCTCTGGGCACAACAGGATGTGCATGAACGCGCGCTGCTGTATTACCGGTTACTGCGAGTGGGAGTGGGCGTGGCAGAGCAGGTAATCAACTATGAGAGGGCACCCAATGTTACCCCTCGATCTGCCCTTCCCCTGTCACACCGACCTCAGGACGTGCATGACAGGGCGCTGCTGTACTATCGGCTGCTGCGGGCGGGAGTGGGCGTGGCAGAGCAGGTGATCAACCCAGAGAAGCAGCCGGTGTCGGTGTTTGTGGACTCGCAGGGCAGTGAGACGCGCGACCGCATCTTCGATGAGTTCAACTCCCTCTCCGTTGTTTACCAAAAGGTGAGCGCGTGCCATAAGGTGTGTGTGTTCTCATGGGGCTTGCCAAGGCGCGTGCCACAAGGTGTGTGTGTTCTCATGGGGCTTGCCAAGGCGCGTGCCACAAGGTGTGTGTGTTCTCATGGGGCTTGCCAAGGCGCGTGCCACAAGGTGTGTGTGTTCTCATGGGGCTTGCCAAGGCGCGTGCCACAAGGTGTGTGTGTTCTCATGGGGCTTGCCAAGGCGCGTGCCACAAGGTGTGTGTGTTCTCATGGGGCTTGCCAAGGCGCGTGCCACAAGGTGTGAGCCTGGGACCACAAGGTGTGAGCCTGGGACCGCAAGGTGCACACCACAGGGTGAAACTGGCTTCCTGGAATCTCTTTTATATGACATGCATGTGCCCATGGGTTGAAGGCACGGATACTTGCATCATGTGCAGCACGAGCAACTCAGTTTAATCCACAACCCGTTCTCCCTCTCCCCTTGCTGCTTCCTCCACCATCATGCCATTCAGCCGGCATTCCTGTTCCTAGACAAGGACAAGCGCAGCCTGCTCCTCGTCAAATACATCCGAATCTCTTGAGGCGTCTCAAATTCTGTGCTTCCATTTTCCTCCACCATCATGCCGTTCAGCCGGCATACCTGTTTCTAGACAAGGACCAGCGCAGCCTGCTCAACGCCGAATACACATCTGTGGCCGCTGCTGCTGCTGCTCGATGCCGCCGCTGCTGCTGATTTTAGCCGACTTGAAAAGCACCCATCCTCTCTCTCTCTCCCCTTGCTGCCATCCCTCCCTCCTGACCTACATGCCATCCAGCCAGCATACCTGTTTCTCGACAAGGACCAACGCAGCCTGCTCGACCCCAAACACATCCGAATCTCTTGAGGCATCTCAAATTCTGTGCTTCCATTTTCCCCCACCATCATGCCATCCAGCCGGCATACCTGTTTCTCGACAAGGATCAGCGCAGTCTGCTCGACGCCGAGTACACCTCCGTGGCCTCTGCCGCCGCCGCCGCTTCTGCTGCTGCCGCGGCGGCCACTGCTCCTGCCACTGCTGCAGCTGCCCCATCTGCCCGTGCGTCACAGGGTGAATCTGCTGCCTCGCTCCTTGATGCCTCTGACAGGGAGCATGCTGACTCGCCTCTCATCTCCACTCCTGCTGTTCCCAACGGCCATGCTGCTGCTGGTGCTGCTGGTAGTGCTGGTGCTGGTGGTTCTGCAGCAGCAGCGGCTCCTCTGCTGCCGTTGGATCTTCTATCCGACGGACCCGCACATCCTGCTGCTGCTGCTGCTGTCCCTCCTCCTGCAGCAGCATTGGACCCCTTTGCAGAGCTAGCGAGCACACAATCCGCCCATTCAGACACTCCCAGCGCAGCAGCAACAGCACCATCAGCAGCTGCCAGCACAGCACCTGCAGCATCAGCAGCTGCCAGCACAGCACCTGCAGCCGCCCCTGCAGGAGCCACAGGAGGAGGCACCACGGGGTTCGACTCCATAGACAGCCTGCTGGGCCTGGCAGCGCCTTCCCAAGCGACAGGTGGCGGAGCGGGATTGGAGGACATGCTGTCAGGGGGGCATGCACCTGTGCGGCCGGCGCTAGTGCTGAGTGCCAAGGCGTCCCTGGATGCATCGTCCTTCCAGCGCACGTGGAGCCAGCTGCCTGTCGCTGCTACTCTTGTGAGTGCCTCTCCCCTCTTAATATGTGCCTTGCAATGGCTTTTGAGACGTCATAATATTCAGTGCTAGTGCTGAGTGCCAAGGCATCTCTGGATCCACCGTCCTTCCAGCGCACGTGGAGCCAGCTGCCTGTCGCTGCTACCCTTGTGAGTGCCTCTCCCCTCTTATTATGTGCCTTGCAATGGCTTTTGAGACGTCATAATATCCAGTGCTTGTGCTGAGTGCCAAGGCGTCCCTGGATGCACCGTCCTTCCAGCGCACGGGGAGCCAGCTGCCTGTCGCTGCTACTCTTGTGAGTGCCTCTCCCCTCTTAATATGTGCCTTGCAATGGCTTTTGAGACGTCATAATATTCAGTGCTAGTGCTGAGTGCCAAGGCATCTCTGGATCCACCGTCCTTCCAGCGCACGTGGAGCCAGCTGCCTGTCGCTGCTACTCTTGTGAGTGCCTCTCCCCTCTTAATATGTGCCTTGCAATGGCTTTTGAGACGTCATAATATTCAGTGCTAGTGCTGAGTGCCAAGGCATCTCTGGATCCACCGTCCTTCCAGCGCACGTGGAGCCAGCTGCCTGTCGCTGCTACCCTTGTGAGTGCCTCTCCCCTCTTATTATGTGCCTTGCAATGGCTTTTGAGACGTCATAATATCCAGTGCTTGTGCTGAGTGCCAAGGCGTCCCTGGATGCACCGTCCTTCCAGCGCACGTGGAGCCAGCTGCCTGTCGCTGCTACTCTTGTGAGCAATGGCTTTTGAGACGTCATAATATTCAGTGCTAGTGCTGAGTGCCAAGGCATCTCTGGATCCACCGTCCTTCCAGCGCACGTGGAGCCAGCTGCCTGTCGCTGCTAGCTACCCTTGTGAGTGCCTCTCCCCTCTTATTATGTGCCTTGCAATGGCTTTTGAGACGTCATAATATCCAGTGCTTGTGCTGAGTGCCAAGGCGTCCCTGGATGCACTGTCCTTCCAGCGCACGTGGAGCCAGCTGCCTGTCGCTGCTAGCTACCCTTGTGAGTGCCTCTCCCCTCTTATTATGTGCCTTGCAATGGCTTTTGAGACGTCATAATATCCAGTGCTTTTGCTGAGTGCCAAGGCGTCCCTGGATGCACCGTCCTTCCAGCGCATGTGGAGCCAGCTGCCTGTCGCTGCTACTCTCGTGAGTGCCTCTCCCTTTCGTGTTGTTGGTGGCTACTTTCACCCTTTTTTTTTTTTTTTTTTTTTTTTTTTTTTTTGGTCTTTTGTTTTTGCATGTCACTGTGTGAGGTCATGAGTTCCTTTGTTGCGTGGGATTTTGCCAACCTGGCCCCACTCGTTTTTCTCATGCCTATGTGCAGGAGGAGAAACTGCCTGGAACTTTCATCACTGCACTGACAGCACCAGCCCCTCTTTTAAGGCACATGGCCCACAGGAACATCCAGTGCATGGCATCAGGCGGCCAACGCCCTGCCTTCAGATTCTTCTTCTACGCGCAAAAGGCCGATGCGGCGCCAGGTGGCATGTTTCTAGTGGAGCTGCAGGTGAACACAAGTGCTGCCACAGCAAGTGGCAAGGTGAAGGGGGCGGCAGGAGCAGCTGACGAGTTTGCTGCCTTGTTTCGTGACGCCTTGCTGTCATTTGGCCAGCTCGTTTAGATTGGGGATGCTGCCTGCTTATAATTTTATGCTAAGCCCTTACCGACACAGCTTTGTTGTGTGAATGAACATGCAACGTTACAAACCCAGGAGCAAACAATAGGCTTTTAGGCCACACGTGGAGCATAATCATTCTGAATTTCTGATATCAAGGCAGTCTTGCCCAAGATATTTGGCTGCCATGCTATCCATACAACCAGGCCGGATTCACTGCTGTTGTGGAATATACGTTTCTTGTTACAATTTGTTACGAGTGCAATTGAGTGAACGAACGAGAATTGCACTATCGAAGCAAGAGTACAATGAGCGAAGGCATGAGCGAACAATATATAGCGAAACTACAGTGGTAACGGTAATGGTCGCGCGACGAGCCTGGGACTGAGGTTGGGAAAGTGTCGAAGCGTAGGCCCGGAGCGCGGGTTACCAGCCGAGCCGTGAGGTCGGGATGCGATGTGCGAAAATGGCGGGATGATGAATGATGCGATGGTCGCGAGTGGTAACGGTGCTGACTGAGGTGCGACAGTGATGTACGCGTTGAGCAGGGACGCGAAGTAAGGAAAAGGGAATTTCCTTACACTACCCCCCCTCCTAAGGAGGTCCTCCTTACGAAAGCGCGTGGACGTCTTTGAAGTTTCGGCTGCGCAGATAGTCCGTGACGACAGGGTGGTTTTCAACTTTGTCCAGGGGAACCCAGTTGTCCTCAGTGGGTGTACGATCTTTCCAGCGGATCAGAAACTCAACTTTTCGGGCTCCTCGAGGGTCACGAACTCTGTGGCTCAGGATTTTGTCGGGGGTGATGACTGTTTCGGTTGGTGGTCGTGTCATGCTGGAGGGTCGATGTCGTGGGAGTTGGCTGGTGGATGGTACGTAAGGGCGAAGCAGGCTGACGTGGAACGAGGGGCTGACGTACCAGTCAGCAGGAAGGAGGAGGTGCGCGGTGACAGGCGTGATCATGTGACTGATTCGAAATGGCCCACAGTATCGAGGGCGGAGCTTGGGAGTGATGGGCAGGCGGAGGTTCTGAGTGTCGAGTAAAACGAGGTCGTCGGCCTGATAAGTGACGGGTCTGCGGTGGCGATCGGCGTTGCGTTTAGCGATGATATTTGATTTTTTTATTGCTTCTGCTGCCCTGGTCCGTGCTGCTTGCAGAATCTCGGCGAACTGTTGTGCTCGTGGGACGGGATTGTCGGGATTCGGTGTCATGGGTACTGTTGGGTCCTGTCCGTAGTTCAAGTAGAATGGCGACTGTTGGGTCGTGGCAGATGGCGCGTTGTTGTATGCGAACTCGATGAGAGGCAACTGCTGCTCCCACGTGTTTGGATCGTCGCACGTGGCTCCATGGTCCATGGTCTAGTTTGTCCGTTCTGTCTGTCCGTCGGTTTCGGGGTGATAGGATGAACTAAATTGAAGTCGTGTGCCGAACTGCTGCCACAGGTTCCGCCAGAAATTACTGGTAAACTTCGTGTCCCTGTCGCTGATGATCGACGCTGGTATCCCGTGCAGTCGAACGACGGTGGTGATGAAGATTCGGGCTGTTTCCTCGGCTGTGATTGATTTCCTGCATGCTGCGAAATGTGCCATTTTCGTCAGTCGATCGACAACGACCAGGATCGCGTCATTCCCACTCGCCCCAGGTGGTAACCCCGTGACGAAGTCCATTGTCACCTGCTGCCAAGCACGCTCTGGGGGTAGGATTGGTTGCAATTGTCCCGCCGGCCGCTTCCTGCTTGACTTCATGAGTTGGCAAGTGGGACACGATGCCACGTGTCGTTGCACGTCGGTCAACATTTCTGGCCAGTAGTAGTACCGCTGTAGCTGCTGCCGTGTTTTTTCCACTCCGAAATGTCCCGAGGTAACTCCGTCGTGTGCTTCCTGTAATAGTAGTTCCCGTAGTACTGTGTACCCTGGTACCCAGATGCGGTCGGTTCCAGCATTTACGTAATAGACTCCCTTGGCTGCTGCGAATTGCTGCGAGTTTCCTCCTGTGAAGAATGGGTCTGTTTGATATCCGTGGGTAAATAGTCCTGTAAGTAGCGGGCTGGTCTGGGCGAGTAGTATCGCGTGGATCTGGGCAGTGGGGCGGGTCAGTGCGTCGGCGATATTCGAGGCTCCTTTTTTGTATGTGACCGTATAGTGAAAATTCGACTCGAGGAAGTCGAGCCACCGAATCTGTCGTGGGTTGAGGTGGGGCTGTGCGCGAAGGTACTATAGAGATCGATGGTCTGTCCGTACTGTCACGTCTGCGCCGGTCAAGTAGCAGCGCCACACTTTGAATGCATGCACGATCGCGAGCATTTCGCGGTCGTGTATCGGGTAATTTCGCTCAGGTGGATGGAGCTTGCATGATTCGTAGGCGATGGGTTGGAGGGCGTTGCCGAAGTCCTGTAACAGTACAGCTCCGATGGCGATGTCGCTTGCGTCGGTAACAACTTCGAAGGGGCGGTGTGGGTCAGCGATGCGTAGAACGGGTGGTGAACAGAGAACAGTTTTCAGGGCAGAGAAGGCAGCATGCTCTTTCTCCCCCCACGTAAAAGCGACCCCCTTACGCAGTAAATCCGTGAGCGGGGCTGTTAAGCGTGCCATGTCGGGGACGAACCGTCGAACGTAATTAACAAACCCTAAAAAACTCTGCAGTTCCGTGATGTTCGTCGGTGGGTGCCATGCTTTTACGGTATCCAGCTTCTTAGGGTCGATTTCAACCCCAGCCTCCGAAATAACGTGACCTAAAAACTCTAGCCTGTCCCGAAAAAACTCGCACTTGGAGCCCTTGGTGAGTAGCCGATGTTCTTCTAAAACCTTAAAAACTGCTTCAAGATCTACTAAGTGCTGCTGCTTGTCCCGACTGTAAACGAGGATATCGTTGAGGTAAACTATCACGCATTTATCTAAAAGTGGCCTAAACGCCTCGTTCATGGTCATCTGAAAAGTTGCAGGCGCGTTGGTCAACCCGAAAGGCATCACTGTCTACTCGAATGACCCGTACCTAGTCCTAAATGCTGTCTTGGCGCAGTCCGATGGTTCGACCCGAATCTGATGGTAACCTCCCCGTAAATCTATTTTCGAAAAGACCCGTGCTGTTCGCAACTGGTCGATCAGTTCGTCGGCGCGAGGGATGGGGTATCGCGATTTGACTGTTACCCTGTTAAGCACTCGGTAGTCGATGCACATGCGGAACCCTCCGTCTTTTTTCGGTGTGAACAGTATCGGTGCGGCGAACGGTGACGAGCTCGGTCGGATAAACTGCTTCTCTAACAGGTAATCTAACTGCTTCCTTAGCTCGTCGAGCTCGGGCTGTGTCAGTCGAAATTGGTGCTGTACAGTTGGTTGTGCCCCCGGTTCTAACTCGATCCTATGGTCGTGCGCCCGCTGAGGTGGCAGTCCTTGTGGTAAATCATCCGGAAAAATCCCCGGGAACCGTTTCAGTAGTGCCTGTAGTTCGGGCGGTACGGCTGCCAACAGTTTCTGTAAATCACTCGGCTGCTCCTCTTTTTCTACCAGTGCGATATCCACTGCGTACACGTCAGCTCCAGCAGCGACAGCCCGTTTCATCGTGATGGCGTTGACCTGGACCGTCGAAGATTCGGGTGGCTGCCAGCGAGGTAGAACAACCCAGTTACCACTACTTCGCACTGTGCAGCTTCCCGTCGTCCAGTCAATTCGTGGGTTATACCGTCGCAGCCAATCACGTCCCAATAAAATGTCGTGCCCATCCAGTGTCGTTGCGAGCATTTCCTGTGTAAACCCGAAGTTCCCCCCGCAGCGGACTTTTACTCGCTCCACCTTTTCCCGTATGGCCAGGGGCGTGCCGTCGACTAAGCGTGCATCTATCTCATGTAAGCATCGGTTAAGTGTTAACTGTAATTTCCGTGCGGTTGCGGTATTAACTAAGCTGTGACTTGCTCCTCCGTCAATAAAAATCTTCACTGCTGCTCCCTGTATTTTCCCGTAGATCAGTACCGGGCAATCCGTCGCTGTACCGTCCTTATTCATCCGAGCCCGATCGATGGCGTGAATCGGTACTGTGACTCGGTGAGGGTCGGTGTGGTTGGGCGAGCAGGCAGTCTCGTCAGTAGTTGGCCCAACTTCTACTGACTGCTGGCGTTTCCCTGCCTCTGAGACTCCCTCCCCTGCTCTGCTCCTCAACGCCTCAGCTCCTCTGGGCATTCGCTCTTGCGATGGCCCGGCCTGTTGCAAGCAAAGCAGCACCCTTTAAACGGTGCGGCAGCTGCATTCGTTGCGACGGCATGTACAGTGGCGTGCTCAGTCGGTCCCCGAGGACGATGTCCGTAATAGGACCCCGGTCTCGGTCGGCGTAGGATGTCGATCTTCTCGGCGAGCGCGAGAATCTTGTTGAAGTTAGACAGTCTGCGTAGCATTATCTCGTGCGAGATGTCCGGCTTCAGCCCTCCGACGTAACGGTCCACCCACTCCGCCTCGTGCATGTAGCCGACCTGTTCGCAAAGTGCGAGAAAACCGCTGGTATAGTCTTGAACTGACCCGAGCTGGCGCCAAGTGCGCAGTTTCTGACGCGCCGAAATCGAAGCCGCGATCGGCTCAAAACGCGCCCGAAGCCCTGCGCACCACGCATCCCACGTGCTGTATTGGGCGGTTTCGCAGAACGAACTCCAGGTGACAGCTGGACCCAAGGGCCCTTCCTCGTGCGACGGTGGCTCGTAGGCGCGTGGCGATGTCACGATGACTCGCCACCAGTCCATGGCGGGGCCCCTTAGTAGTGAAACCGCATACCGGATCTTCGCGGCGTCCGACTCGACGTAATTGGCGTCGAAGAAAACGTTCATCGTGAAGACCCACGATTGAACTGTCGGGCTGCCGCGTTGGCTTGGGTCGAAGCAGGGCGGGCGTTGCGGCTTGAGTGGCATTGGGGCCATTATGGCGTTTTCGCCACTTGTCGCCGCAAACTCCACGTGCCGACGGGCTTCTCGGGGCTCCCGTGGGCTTGGCGTGCTCCTGTTCCCTCCCATGCCGGGCATCGGCTGGGCGGCGCCTTCACTGGCTGCGCCTGAGCGTTGTCCCGTGCTGTCGTGTGGTGTTGGTGTGCCGGACGAGATGACAATTGGCTCATCCGAATGTGCATATGCATTGGTTGGTGCGTTTGATGTCGTCGGTACGTTCACCGTTGACTGTTGACGGGCGGAGTCACGTTCCGCCGTGAGAGTCGCGATTTCGAGCGCCGAGTCCTCCAGTTGACGCACGAGACGATCGAGTTAATCCTGCGTCATCGTGGCGAGCTTGAAATCGGCCATGGCGGGGGTGTCGGGCAAGCTCAGCGAGAGCCTCGGTCGTGGCCGTGCCTGCTTGCGAGAGAGCACTACAAGCGGCGGTGCTGTATCGATGAGAGACGTCTACCCCCCCCAAAAATTGAGATAGTGGGAAGCGAAGGTGTGGATGCGGTCCGAGATGAGATCGTAGGCTCTGAATACCAAGTGTTACGAGTGCAATTGAGTGAACGAACGAGAATTGCACTATCGAAGCAAGAGTACAATGAGCGAAGGCATGAGCGAACAATATATAGCGAAACTACAGTGGTAACGGTAATGGTCGCGCGACGAGCCTGGGACTGAGGTTGGGAAAGTGTCGAAGCGTAGGCCCGGAGCGCGGGTTACCAGCCGAGCCGTGAGGTCGGGATGCGATGTGCGAAAATGGCGGGATGATGAATGATGCGATGGTCGCGAGTGGTAACGGTGCTGACTGAGGTGCGACAGTGATGTACGCGTTGAGCAGGGATGCGAAGTAAGGAAAAGGGAATTTCCTTACACAATTTCACACAAACCACATGAACGATTTGTTGACTTCCACGACTTCAATTCGACGAACATCGCCGGCTGATCACGAAAACATGGTTCCGCAATCCACCAGCAACCAGATGTAACCATACAGTGTCCATTCCAAACAGCTTTTCGCAGCCAATGGGAGTTACAGCTCGCCTCGTCCCATCTGGTTCACGTTGCGCTTGTACCTCAAGCAAATCCTCAATTCTTGCCAAGTCAATTTGGAATGTCGCTCAGCGAACAAGTTTCGCTTACCCGTTACGATGAAAGACCTGGCTTGCGCCAGTGTTACCAGCATGAAGCTGGAATCTCGCCGTAGTGCTTCAGGAAGAATTTTGAGCCTGATTGCGGTCATATTCTTTCGCGGAAGATCGCGAGCCAGTATTCCAGATGCACACACGCCACGCGAAAGTGAAGTCCACCATTCCATCCCAGCAGGTGCATCCTGGCGCGACAAGGCCTCAGCCAAATGCGCGGCTCCGCATGTGAGCTGGTGAATACAAAACCAGCACGACCTCACTCCAACCCCCCACCAACAAATTCAAGCACTCACAACACTAAGGGCGCGTAACCATTTTGCATTTTTTTATTTTGACGTACCGTCCGATTATATGGAATCAGACGGTACGTTTATAACGAAACGGACTGTCCGATTTGAATGTTTGCAACTTCGGACGCTACGAATACAGATGTGACACTTTTTCCACATGCTAGGGTTCTGCGATGGTTTTCCCTTCGCCATCTCAAATGTACACCAGTAACGCTAGGCACAACCCATCGCAATTTTCGCCTGTTGAGTTCAGCGCTTCGGACAAACATAGGAAATGTCAAACAAGCACAAAGGCCGTCCAAACCAAGCCCTTCGCAGTCAGAGGGTCACAACAACCCTCAATCTACAACAGAGACATCCCTCTGCACAAGCGTATGTCGCGCCGCCACCTACTATTCGTACTACACCTCTTGTATAGAGGTTACCAAGAGTTCATTGTCCGACCAGGGCTCGACTACATTGTGGAGATTGTCCTACTGCTCGATGACAAGGACCGCCACTTCATGCAACGAGACCGTGAGGGTCAGAGGGAGAGGTGGGATTATCTTCTTGGCGGAATGCCTCGTCAGGTTTTCACAGACACCTTCCGCGTTAACCGTGCAGTTTTCGACTACTTGGTAGATGCTTGGATCAGTAGGAATGGTGACCGCTAGCGAGTGATACCTATAGAATCGTGCGTCGCTATGACGCTAGTTTATCTAGGCACAGGCGCAACGATCCGGCAGCTCGGCCTGCAGTTTGGGGTCGTGCCTCAGCATGCTCAGAGGATTGTGCAGGGCTTTATGGCGTTCATAGTGGACGAACTACTCCCTCTCTGGGTTTCTCACCCTTCCGCCGAGCAGATGGCAGAAATCGCCGAAGAGTTCCGTTACGAGGGCGGTATTCCTGGCGTCATAGGAGCTCTAGATGGGACGTATATTGAGTGCCGTGGCTTCGGGAGAGACAAGGAGGACTTCAAAAACAGGAAGGGTTTTTACTCCATAATCCTACAGATAGCATGTGACTCTAACGGAATCATCTCGGACTACAACATCGGATACCCCGGAAGCGTGAACGACTCCCGGGTGTTTACTAACTCCCCGCTCAAGCAGCGCTTAGAGGCTAGCGAGTTGGGGAACTACATGCTAGTCACGGACGCTGGTTACGCTCTCACAAGCTACACTTGTGTGCCTTGGCGCGCTACTCCCGGATGGTCTCTGCCACGGGCAAAAGACAAGTGGAATACACAACAATCGCGTCAGCGTATGATTATCGAGCAAGTCAACGGGAGGCTCAAAGGCAAGTGGCGCATCCTCGACTGCCGGCTGGAGTGCCACAGTGAGAGGGTGCCGTAGGTGGTGAGTGCCTGTGTGGCACTCCACAACATCGAACTGACGATCGGCACCAGGGATCGCCTTGGCACCCCGGCGGAGCGCAACCGATGGTGGCTCGAGGGGCCCGCGGCTACTCTTCGACTTACCGGCCCGGAGGTGCGCCGTTTCACGCCTCGTCTTCGGATGAAGAGGTGGACTGCGGCGATCTACGCCTCCTACTGCGCCGCTCATCCGCGTACCCGCGAAACACCTCCCGGGTTAGTGACTTGAATTCCTCCCACTTCTCATCCTGCCGTTTGTCAAAATGATCCCGTAGTTCCCCTACCAACTCGGCAGTGCTTGACGATTTCTTCTTCTCGGCTGCCTTGCGGCCAACACCGCGTTTTGCGGCATTCTTCTTTTTCCCATCCATCTCGCCGTCTTGCTTGCGTGGGTACTGCCACCATGCATTCCTTGAACACCCCTCCCTGCCATTAGACGAAGGGCGCGCTCCCCACGTGATGCGCCGACCGCGGATAGAGATACCCGTCGTCGAACCTGACGAGAGCGTGCCACCGCTTGGGGAGCCGCCGTTGCTCGGAGCGATAGTGTCTGGCGAGAGTGGAGTCTCGAGGGCGGGACGAGTCGGAGCGAGGGCGCCGGCTTCAAGACCGGGAGTGGCAGGCTCGGTAATGCGGCTGGTGGCGTGGGACGGCGTGGGTACGACGGCTGGGATATCTGGCGAGACGGGAGCGGGAGGGCGGGGAGCGGTGACAAGCCGTGCGGCAGCAGTCTGCGAAGGGCTTGAAGTCGGCGGGTGAGGCGTAGCCACCGTCGGTGTGGCGCGGGTGTTGGTGGCGGCCGGGGGAGCTGGACGCGCCGTCGTCATGCCAGCAGGAGCGATGCCGGTACCTGCAAGGACAGGGGGTATGGTGCTTGGGCGCTCACCCCAGAGGCACTCGCTGAGATGGTACCATGGCGGCACGTTTGTGACGCGTCCCTCCCCAGATCGCCTGATACGGTCGTTGATGCGACGCCACTCCGCCTTGAGGTGTTTGAACTTCGCCTTGAGTGCCCCCTGGTCATGGCGGCACGTCAGGATGCGCTCAAGGATATCCCGCTGGACCAAGGGGTACCAGGACCTTCCTTGCTGCCCGGTGTGTGCGCGGATCTGCGCGTCGAGATTGATGAACGTCGCCAGCACCTTGCACTCCTCCTCAGGGGTCCAGCGTGGCGAGTTTGTGGCAATGGAGTGGCGAGAACCAGCGGCAGTGGTGGTGCTTGGCTCCGTTGGCTGTGCCGCAGGTTCCTCTTCAACCTCTCCTGGCGCGGCGTTGTCATCCAATGCGGCACCGAGTTCGTAGTCACTGTCGGCATCGTAGGAGGCAGACGGGGAGGGGATTTGGTAAACCCACCAGTCAGCAGGGGTGACGGTGGGAGTGGTAGAAGGAGCTGTCGGCGCGCTGGAACGATCAGGTATCTGGGACTCTTGTGTTTCAAGAACAGCTGTGGCAGGAGTGGTAGTATTGGTAGAGCCCGGTGGCGGGGAGTTGGGAGTGGTGTTGTTAGACTGGGTGTTCTGGGCGTAGCTAGAGGGATCCATTGTGCAGAGAAGTGAGTAGTGGGTCAATGTCGTGGCTTCTTGTATTGTAGTATGGCTAGTTGTGATTGGTCAATGTCAATCTTTGCATCAGATTCGCATTTTTCCATGTTTTGGCGAGGCGGTCCGCTGAAATCCAATTTCGCCTGCCAATCGCGTGCGCGGACAGGCGGACAGTCCGTTTGTGATTCGGACCGTCCGTCGTCAGAGTTTCGTGTCGTTGGAAAGCGGAAAAGGTGTCATGGCAGTTCAAATTTGTAGCGACGTCGCAATCGTCCTCGCGAAGAACTGCACGACATTAAACGATAATGGTAACCCTTCGCATCGACGTACGGTCCACGGTTTGTTCCGTCGGGTGCAAAATGGTTATGCGTTCTAACTCGACGTCCTAGCTTCTACCACCTTTGGTTCCTCTTCAATTCGTAGCAAAGCGACTACAATCAACCGTTACGCAGTGCTACATTCACTACCTGCACGCGAAAGGCGGACATTCACCATGAGGCATGCTCCAACGATCGTGATGCTGCTGCTCCTCTGTGCATTTCTCCTAGCCGCGCAGCCATCCAGTGCAAGCCGCGCATCTTGGCGCCACCTGAACCGCGCATGGTGGAACGGCGGGGAGAATGCTCACCTCGCGGCGCCCTCCTGTGGAAACTCCGGCAACTTTTCAGCACCAGCACCCGTCTACATCGTTCGACTGAGATCGGCTCCTCCCCTTTCCGAATATCGCGGCGGAATTGCGGGCTACCCCGCGACGGCCACGTGGGACGACGGCAGCGACGAGGAGGACAGCGACGCCGTTCCGCTAATGATTCTACCAACAGGCAATTCCGCCGCCGCCGCAAGCGGCGAGTCTGTCGACCTGGACGACACTGACGGCGACCACCTCCTCCCCAACGCAACTGTACCCGCGCCGAACCCAAACGCCACATTTGAGGTCGCAGTTGGTACTCCCAGCGCTCGCGGAGGTCGCGGTGGTAACGGAGACGGTAACGGAGGAAGTAACGGTGGCTGCGGGTGCCCGTGGCACCGGCTGAGTCTGAGCATGGACCGCCCCCAGGTGGTGGCGTTCGCGGCGCTGTTGCAGCGGCAGCAAGCGCAGGTGGCATCTGAGGCGGGCGTACCCGACGACGGGCTGCTCTACAACTACAAGCACACGTCCAACGGCTTCGCCGCGCGCCTCACGCCGCGCCAGCTGTGGCGGCTGCGGCGCCACCCCACCGTGGCGTCCGTCCGCGCCAGTCGCGTGTTCCGCCAGGAGACGATCGACTCGCCGCAGTTCCTGGGGCTGCCCGGGAAGGTGTGGCCGGCAATGGACGGGCAAAGCAAGGCGGGCGAGGGCACGGTGGTGGGGATCGTGGACACGGGTATTTGGCCCAAACACCCGTCCTTCAGCGATAAGGGCCTCTCCTCGCAGCTGCCCGCGGGGTGGAAGGGCAAGTGCGAGTAGTCGAGCTCGTTCCGGTGCAACAACAAGGTGATCGGCGCCAAGGCCTTCTATACCTACGATGCCCGTGACCGCGACTACCAGAATTTCCTCGCCGGGCAGGACCTCAACCGCGCAAAAAAGGAGTTCCCAGGGGTGGCGCTCTCCCCTCTGGCTGTTCGGAACCTCAACCTGCCCACCATCACTCTGCCTCGCCTGCAGGGCTCCCTGCAGGTCACATGAACCGTCACCAACGTGGGGCAGTCCCGGTCCACATACAGCATATCTGGGAAGGCGCCGCAGGGGGTGAAGGTGACTGTGTCTTCAAAGACCCTCACGCTGGCTCCCGGGGAGAAGGCCACCTACACGCTGACGGTGACGGTGGATACCCCCAGTAATGACTTCAAGTACGGGTTTCTAGTGTGGGCCAACGACTAGGGCCATAGCGTGCGGTCTCCCCTCGTGGTTCAGCCAATCTCCCGCTGAGGGGGAGAGCCGTGTGAGGCTCTTTCGTGCCGAGGTTTTAGTAGGTGGGATTGCGTGTCCCTTCTCAATTGAAGGGATATCATTGTGGCGCATGGTATGGCAGGGTATTGGCGCATGGCTTGGCAGTGCCACTCTTCGTGGCACATGGGAGCACTTTATAAACAACTGATCCGGAAGAGCTTGGTGTGTGTAGTACGAGTGACTATTTACGTTGGAGCTGGTGATATAGTGTTAGGCTGCTCTATTGTTTGCTTAATATTTATTTAATTTGTTCCCTTCCAACAGCTACACTAAAACATATTTCAAAAACAACGTTATACATAATCAAGGTAAACCCACAGACACTGCCACTCAGCAAACCAAACACAATGCACCAGTGCTCTGAGAGAGTGGAGTTGAGCAGAACTTAAGTTCCCTCCCCTGAAGGTCCGCCCCTCAGAGCACATCCAAGGCCCAGCTCTCACAGCAGCTTGCACTGCTTCAATTACAGTACCTTAGTACCTTGCAGGCTTGCACCTTTATATCTCTTAACACACCACTCACTCCAAGCAACGCTTATTCCTCGCAACACCCACCCCCCACATGCCCCGCGCATCAGCCAGCTGGCGCCGGTAGTCACCAGCAGAGCGACTCACCCAGCAGCCCCTCTACCTTGCCCTTTCCTGCCTAGGATGCAACTACTGCAAGCCACACCACATCCAATGCCATGCCATGACTCACACTACCACTCCTCACATGCCCCACGTTTCAAACTGCTTCCTTCCCTCAGTGGTTCCCTGCCACTCCTCACATGCCCCATGCATCAGCCAGCTGGCGCCTGTAGTCACCAGCAGAGCGCCCCACCCAGGTGCCCCCATCGGCGCTCACCACTTGCCGAGGGAGCAGTGGAAGGAACCAACTAGCGGTGCGCTGAGGGAGAGGGAAGATGATAACGATGAAGCTGCTGGTGAGTCAGTTTTCCCTGGGGGTGCCATACGAATGCATGTGGTAGCGATGGAGAAGTGGAAGGAGTCGACGAGTGGCGCGCTGAGGAAGCTGCCGGTGAGCTGCAGTGGATGGGATTCATTTTCATCTGAGTGAACTGGTTTTCAAAATACACTCTTCTTCAGCTGTCGCACTCGTATGTAAGCTTTTCTAGCCCGCACAAGGCAAAGAAGGCTTCCACTTTTCCTTTTCCTCCCTTGTCACTCTCCCTCGTTCCATGTGTGCTAACTTTCCTCAGTACCTCTCTCCACTCCCCCTACCCCTCTCTCTTCCCCCTTTCCCCCCCTCCCTCCCCATTCGCCCTCCCCCATACCCGCTCATTCTGCCCACATTCCTCTCGTGTATTCAAACAGCGGAGGAGCAGGGGGAGGAGTAATCGGTAGGTCTGGCCCCCGCTTCAGCAGACGATGCACCTTCCACTCTCTCGTCTGCTGCTGCTGCGCTCTCCCTGGCCAAGGAGGGGGGCGGCAAGGAGGAAGGTGGTGGCGGAGGAGGGGGGAAGGACGGGTGAGGGGGAGAAAGGAGAAAGGGGCCGTCAGAACTAGCAAGGCCAACGGGGCGTGTGGTGGGGGTGATCAAGCGCAACTGGCGCATGTGAGTGGGGGAAGGGACAAGTGGGGAAGGTGAATGGGGGTAGGGGAAACTGGCGCACTTGAGTGGGAGGAGGGGCAACTGGCGCACTTAGTGCGGGGAGGGGCAGCTGGCGAACTTGAGTGTGTGATGGGGAGGAGCAACTGGCGCACTTGAGTGTGTGATGAGGAGGGGCAACTGGCGCACTCGAGTGTGTGATGGGGAGGGGCAACTGGTGCACTCGAGTGTGTGATGGGGAGGGGCAACTGGCGCACTCGAGTGTGTGATGGGGAGGGGCAACTGGTGCACGTGAGTGTGTGACTGGGGATGGGGAGGGGGGGAGAGTCGAGAGCATGTGAGGTCTTGCACGTGCAAAGAGGCATCTTGGGTGCTCTTTCTTCCTTGCAATTGTCTCCCTGGAGTTGCCTCTTCACAAAGGGGGAGGTTGAGTATTCTAATAAATGAGGGGAAAGGGGGAGGAAGCCAAGAGCATGCGATCTGCGCTTTCTACCTTGAAATTGCCTTCCTTGGAGCTGCCTCTTGGCAATGAGGCAACTTTGTGACTTTTGAGTCAACTCACTGGAGCTGCCTCTTGGCAATGAGGCAACTTTCCTGCACACGTGAGTAGAGTACTAGAGTGTCCCTGAATTTGCCGCTCTTGCCGATGTCAGCCGCAGGGCGCCTCGTGACTCAACTCTCAGCTCGACGTTGGTACGGCCATTCTTGCTCCACTCTACATGGGCTCATTTCCCATAAGCTTGTCCTCACGCCCCTTTTCCACGTCCCACACCCCTTGCCATCACCATCTCATTTTCTGCCAGTGCCAACCTGCCCTTCCTGTATCTGCTGCAAATAGCAGTCCATGGCCCCCATTCCTGCTCCTTCCCTTCATGGAATGTACCTAGTGCGAGAGGCCAACCACATAATAGAGGAGTTCATGCCCCCCCTCTTATCCTCCTCTCTGCATCTGTTTGTATTCATCTCGTCTCCCTCACTCTTTGCCCATCAGGCATGTACCTAGTGCGAAAGGCCAACCACCTGATAGAGGAGCTCATGCTGCCATGTGATGAATGCCTTCTTTCAATTCTCACCCCTTTTGGTTATCTCTGCCTCCCTACTATCCGTCCCCCTCCGTCCATCAGGCATGTACCTAGCGCGAGAGGCCAATCACATCATAATTGAGTTCACGCTGGCAGACGACGTGTTCGTGGCTGAGAACATCCTCCAATAATTCGGCTCCTACTCCATACTCAGGTGATTTTCCACTAAGACCTCAGGTGAAATATGAGGTGTTATCTCAGGTGCAATGTCAGTTGCGATGTCAGGTGGAGGGTGCATAAGAGGAGGCTCACATGTGAGAGCTCATTTTTTACAATGAGCACCTTTCGCATGTCTCTCTCATGGACCCGACTTTCTCTCCCTATATTTCTCTCCCACACACAGGTATCACTCCACCCCCTCGCCCAACATGTTTGAACCACTGCTGCGGACAGCAGAGGCGGTGGGGATCGACGCGGTTGAGCAAAATTACATTGCTCACCTTCTCCTCATGTTCCTCACTTGTTCCTCCCCCACCACTCCCTTTCCATGTTTTTCTCACACACAGGCGGCACCCCACCCCATCGCCCAACATGTTTGAGTCGCTGCTGCGCACAGCAGAGGCGGTGGGGATAGCAGTTGACACGTCCTCCTCCAAGAATCTCGCTGACTCGCTTGACCGCGCCATGGTGAGCTAGTTGTCATGGCTTGTGATGTGTCAGAACATGTTTGAGATGTGTAGAGTCGACTCGAAACACGACTCATTTCAGGCAGTGGGGGTTGCTGTGGACACCTCCTCCTTCAAGAACCTTGCTGGCTCGCTTGACCAAGCTGTGGTGAGCTGCTTGACTATCCAGCCGTCAATTCGCCCCACCTCGTCATTGGCATTCTCGTCGTTGTCATGTCCGCCCCATTTATCTTCCAACGTATGTTTTCTGAGAATTCTCATGTGACTTTTGAGTCGACTCAAAAGTCACCTCAAAAAACATACCTTGTCATGTCTGCTTCATTTATCTTCCAACGTTTGTTTTTTCTTCCCCATTTATCTTGTCAAAAATTCTCAAAGAATTCCCAAAAAACATACCTTGTCATGTCTGCCTCATTTATCTTCCCCATTCGATTTTCAAACCCTCACCTCTACTCCAGATGATAACTTTCCTCTCTTGAAGTGGTTGTGTGCACCTCTCCATCGCTCCCAGGGCCCAGATCTGTACTTCAAGAAGCTCATCCGCAGTCTCACCGCGCGCCCAGCAAAGACCTCTGTGGCTTCGTCTCAAGACTCATTTCCCCCTCTTGGCCCTGTTGTTTGCCTTGCCCCTGTGTGTCCATTCCAGGGCCCAGACCCGTACTTCAACAAGCTTATCCGCATCCCCACCACTCGCCGGCAGGGACCTCTGTGGAGTCGACTAAAACATCTCCCCAACTCGAATCGTACCTTATTTCCCCCCTCTTGACCCATTGTGTTTGCCTCTTTATCACTCTCAGGGCCCTGACCCTTGTTTCAACAAGCTTATCCGCATCCTCACCAGTCGCTGCATGACTCAGGTAGGAGCCCACGGCATACACAAGTTAGGGACACGCGTGGTACAGGAGGCTGTGTGCTACACAAGTACAAAACTCAAATGTTAGCTGAGACGGCACTGATGCATGATGGCCTAGGTGTGTATGCATGCATACGTAGGGCTAGGGTGCATGCATGGGAACAGGGTGTAAGCAGGTTGCCCGAGGCCCCTCCCAATCCTCTCCTAATAATCTCTCTACCTCCCTCCCCTCCCCCCAACACACTTCTCACATTCCCCCACGCCTCTTTCCCAAGGCGGTATATTTCCTCAGTGGTCAGCTGGCCCCTGTAGAGTACCATCACCACGGCCTAGCAGCCTTCAACTGAGTGCCCTGTATCTCTCTTTCACGCACACAACTTGTCTCTTTGCCCCTCACTCCCCCAACCCAACATCTCCCCAGGCGGTGTATTTCCCCAGCGGCCAGCTCGCCCCTGCAGAGTACCACCACACCATTATGGCCCCACTAGTCCCAAACTTTTTGCCCTCTCTCTTCCCTTTCACACACACAGCCCACCCCATCCCTCCCTTATCCATGTCCCTGCCTCTCATCCTACCGCTCAACATCTTCCCAGGCGGTGTATTTCCCCAGTGGCCAGCTGGCCCCTGCAAAGTACCACCACTACGGCCTGGCTGTCCCAATTTACACCCATTTCACCTTGCCCATCCGCCGCTACGCCGGTAAGACCCTTGGCACCTGGCATTTGAGGTGTGTCAAAGGTTTCCTGTAAAGTACCGCCACTACGGCCCCATCTACACCCACTTCACCTCGCCCATCTGCCGTTACTCCGGTGAGTTTTGAGGCGCACTTCCCTTACCTTAGGCCCCTCCTCTTCCCTCCTCCCTCTTCCCTGCTCTCGCCTGCTCACCGCTTCGCTTGTTCAACGTGTGATGTACGGGCAATCAACCTTACCCATCATCCGTCTTTTCCCCTTCCCCAATTGTGACTTTACCCACTTCCATGCAGATGTGGTGGTGCATAGGCTGCTTGCTGCAGCCATCGGGTGGACACCGCTGCCGGATCAGACCAAGGATAAGACTGCACTCACCGACAGTAAGCACCAACGCAGTCATGGAATTTCCCTTTCCCATTCTATCCACACTCTCTTTGTCTCTCCCATCACCATTTTAGTGTCGTTTTCTCCTACTAAACTCCCGTTTCTCTAGTATGAAGTCAGTACGATACGAGCCATTGACAGCAAAGAGAAACAGCAGGCGCCAAATTGCATAGCATGTGCTTATGCGGACTCTGCATGAAATATTCAGGTAACTCAGAGCGCAAGCGCCGTCATGTGTCGGATCAACATGCCATAGCTGTGTGAATAAACATGTTGAGACGCCTACCCTCTCCTCTCCCTCCTGTTGCTTCTGCCCCTCGTCCTCACCCCATGCTTCCCTCTCTCCCCACCCTACACACGTCCTTGTCTTCCACGTGGTCCGCCCTCACTCCTCCCAAATTCTCTTTCCCTCCAGCCCTCCTCCCCGCTGTGCCAGACCTCAACTATCGCAACCGCAATGCTCATATGGCAGGGCGAGCATCGGTGGAGCTTCACACACTCATCTTCTTCCGCACTCGGTAAGCTGTCAGCATGTGGTCGATCTCTTTTGTCTTGCAACCTCTCTTCTCTTGCACATGTGGTCGATCTCTTTTTCCACTCCCTCACATACTCCCCACATACTCTCCTCTCATCATTTCCTCTCCAGCCCAACGAATGGGGCAGGTCGGCTAGTGATGGTTCGCTCCAATGGGTTGATTGTCTTCGCGCCCAAGTAAGCAGCACTCCTTTCTCTTTCTTTCTTTCAAATTTTTTTCTTTATTTTTTCCCTTCAAAATCTTAGAAACTATCGAGAGATTTTGGTACAAGACTTTGGTACAAGACTATCTCCTTTGTTTGACTATCGAGAGATTTTGGTACAAGAAGGAAACCTAACAGGTTGTTCCCCACAGTATCTACCTCACAACAGCCTACCCAAAACTATAACATATGTATATGTTTGACTCACCCCCATAGGCAAAGTAGGGGAGAGCAAGAGGTCACAAGACCAGTCAAGGAAAGCAAAACAAGCTCAGGGTGGATCACAACGTCACCACACACACTGAGCATAAGCAAACGGCCACAAGGCCAGTTCACATGCAGAGGTATACATGCAACAAGAACAGTAGTGTGATCTCTACCTAGCAAGAGCAAGCATGCAGATATATATGTATATATATACATCACAGTACAAGCAGAGACTACAGGAAGTGTGAAAACGTAGTTGATGATTACCAGACGGAAGTGCCTTGGTGAATATATCAGCACTGTTGGCCCAAGTGGCCACGTGAGCAAGGCGAAGCAGACCCCGCTGCTGCAACTCTCGAGCCAGGAAGTAACGCAGAGCGATGTGCTTCGTTCTGTGCTTCAGTCTGTGCTCCTGACACAAGGCAATGGCGGCCTTGTTCGCTACGTACAGAACTGGAGGAGAACGAGGCCGCTCTCCCAAGTCGGTCAGCAGGTAGGTGAGCCAGCGTAACTCCTGTGCAGCCATGGCTGTGGCGTAGATCTCAGCCTCACAACTGGAGCTGAGAATAGAAGACGAGCGTGTAGACCGCCAAGAAACAGAGCCAGAGCCAAGGCTGAACGAGTAACCCTGTGACGACCGCTGTGTAGCCTGGTCGTCAACCCAAGAAGCGTCTGAGTGCCGAGTAAGGACAACTGCACTCCGCCCTCCAAGTACTAGCCCCATACCCGATGTACTGCACAAGTAGCGCGGTATCCTCTTAGCAGCATCCATGTGCACCTTTCAGTGCCGATCAGGAGCCACGTAGCGAGCCAGAAAGGCCAAGAGGGTACGCAAGGTCTGGACGAGTGCAGGTCATGAGGTACATGAGGCGGCCCACTAGCTCTGGGTAAGGACCACTCGGCTCTACGGACTCGTCCAAAGGTGGAGCTAAGAGCGAGTGACCTGTAGCCGGAGGAGTGGCCTGTGCCGAGGACCAGGTGAAGCCGAAGCGCTGAAGGACCTGCTGCACCATGTGTGACTGAGTCAGTGTGATGGTGCGGCGTGCTCTGTCCCGGGTGATCTGCAGGCCAAGGTAGCTGCGCAGCTCACCCAATACGGTGCACGTGTGTCTCTTCTGCAGCTCCGACTTCACCAGGGCGAGACCCTCAGTGTCAGCAGCGGCAAAGACCAAATCGTCGACGTACACGAGGATGTAGAATGGCGGCAGCGAAGTGACTGTGCGCAGAAACAGCGACGGGTCAGCAGTCGACGGAGTAAACCTAAGAGCCGCAAGTGTCGTCCTCAGTGTGTCCTGCCACTCACGTGGCGCCTGGCGGAGACCGTAGACCGGCCGTCGGAGGCTCTACTGGGTACCAGGAGGAAACGACCCAGTGAAACCAGGTGGGCGGCGCAGCCAGATCTCCTCGTGCAGGCTGCCCTATAAGAAAGCTGTGCTGAAGTCAAGAGAGTGAAGCTTGTAGTCACGCTGAGCGGCAACGGGCAGCAGCACTCGAAGAGTGGTCATCTTTGGGGTGGGGGAGAAGGTCTAGAAGAAGTCAACTCCCTCTCGCTGACTGAAGCCTCGAGCAATGTAACGAGCCTTGAAGAAAGGTGGAGAACCTGGCGGCCGCTTCACACTGAGAATCCACATGCCGTCGACGATGTTCGCCCCAGGAGGGGGAACCTCATCGACGTCCGTGCCTGTGGACTTCTAGGATGCCATCTCTGCGTCCATGGCTGTCTGCCACTAAGAAGAGTACTCACCCGCGATCGCCTCAGCGTAAGTGCGCGGGGTCGGGATGTCTGGTGCATCCGGGTCGCCCTCAGGGACAAGCAGCATGGCCACGAGATGGGGCGCAGTGGCCGCAAGACACTCAAGGTCCTCTTCCCTGTCCTCAAAGACGTCCGTGCTAAGAGCACACTCACCCCCGACGGACGGAGGACAGACAGAATCAGACTCAGCAACAAGACTAGCAGCGTAGTCTAGACGGCAGGTAGCAGCAAAGTTGACAAGCTCAGCGACTAGGGTAGACGCAACAGTGGACTCAAACGACGGGTCAGTGACAACAGTGGCTAATAGACGCGTGACAGTAGGGTGCTCAGTACGAAACTGGTCGGACTCAGGGTCCGCAACGTCAGGCAGAGAGGACGCAGGGGGAGACGGCAGAGGAACACGCGGCGGAGGAGAGGAAGGACGATGGGCTACAAGGCGGGTGCCGGGGACAGCCGGCTGACGCGGACGAAGAACACGACGATCGCAACGACCAGAACGGACGGGCGAGATAGGACGCAACGCATGCTCACAACACTCACCAAGGCCCCATGTCTGCTCAGTGTAGGGAGAAGGAGCATGCAACGATGAGCCAGGCTGTAACAGAAGACCAGTAGACGAAGGGAGACTGAGAACCTGGCGAAGCGCAGAGTCGGGCGGTGGCTGAGACGACGGAGACGGCGGAGCGAGGAACAGGCGCAGCTGTACAGTGCCACCAGCGCCAGCAGCTCTAGCACCTCCAGCAGCTCCAGTACCCTCAGCAGCTCCAGCACCTCCAGCAACTCCAGAACCCTCAGCGCCAGCTCCTCCAGCTGCAGCACCCCTAGAACCGGCACCTTCAGTCCCAGGGTCTCCAGCCTCAGTGCCTCCAGCAGCAGCACCCCCAGACCCAGGGTCTCGAGAAGTAGCACCCTCAGACACAGCACCTCCAGCCCCACCAGCTCCAGTACCTCCAGTACGAGCACCTCCGGGACCAGCAGCTCCAGCACCTCTAGTAGACAAAGGACCACCACCACTCCCAGCTCCAGTGACGTCAGCAGAAGTACCTCCAGCAGCAGAGCCCCGAGCTCCAGAAGCGCGACCCTGACGGTGACCGTACCAGTTGTGCAACTACTGTGAGGTGAGAGGCACACGCGGACAAAGGTGGCTACTCCAAGGAGACCGCGTAACTGCATTCTCAGAACCCTCAGGCGTCGCACCCCCAGACTCGACACCCCCAGGCTCCTCACACGCAGGCTGTGCACCCCCAGGCTCAGGACCTCCAGGCTCCTCACGCGCAGGCTTAGCACCTCCAGGCTCCGCACCCTCAGGCTCCTCACGCCCAGGCTCTGTGCCCCCAGACTCCGCACCCCCAGTCTCAGCACCCCCACGCTCCGCACCCCCAAACTCCGTACCCCCAGGGACAGCACCACCCCCAGCAGGACCTGAGTCACCAGTGATCTCAACATGCGCAGTTACGGGAGGGTCTACCTAAGAGACACCTGAAGGAGCAGGACCTGGAGCAGGGAGGGGGTCTACCTTGGGAGGACCAGGGGTGAGAAAGAGCGGCGGGGGGGGGGGGCGAGGGGCAGTGCGGTAGGGAAAGAGACGGTAAAAGGGAATTGAATCGTCAAAGGTGACGTCCTGAGACGGAAAGACACGGCACGAGGCGGGGTCGTAAAACTGCAAGCCAGGCGCGTCAGGGACAAAGCCAAGGAAGACGCAGGGAATGACGCGAGGGGAGAGTTTGTCCGCGGTGGTATCGCGGACAAAGGCAGGAGCACCCCAGGCACGACGCATCACCAACCTTCCCCGTCCACAGCAGTGTGGGCGAGGTCTCCGGCAAGGAGACACGGGGCCAGAGGTTGAGCTGATGCGCGGCGTACCGGATAGCAAACAGCCACAGAAAATGGGGGGCAGCCACATGGATCATGGAGGTACGAGCGACCTCCATAACTAAGCCAATGCGGTGCTCAGCAATCCCACTCTGCTGCGGAGAGGCCGGAAGCGTGAACGTCTGGCGGATGCCGTGCTCCAGACTGAAGGCTGCCAGGAGGTCTGAGGAGAACTCACCACCTCTAACAGAGTGCAGACGCAGGATAGGAAAGTCCGACTGGAACCGCTCGCAGAGCTGGAGACAAACAGCGCGGATCCAGGGGATCAAAACATCAGGGACCTCCCCCTTGCGCTGCAAGAGGAAGACGGTGGTGTAATGCGTGTAGTCGTCGACGACCAACAGGAAGTACCGCTCGTGGCCGAGTCCACGGACACGGACTGGGCCCCACACGTTCAGGTGGAGAGTCTGCAGTGGAGCCTCTGTGGGAGGGAACGAGGAGGAGTGAGGAGCGGCGCACTGCCGCCCCTCAACGCAAGGAATGCAGGGCGGCGCAGGCGAGGGAGGGAGGGCAGGCAGATACCTGGGAAGGCCAGAGACCAGGAAGCGAGAGTGCATGCTACGAAGGCGAGGCAGGGAGGGGTGACCAAGGCGGTGGTGCCACAGGAGAGTGTCGTGCGACAGTCGGCGACACTCACACTGGATAGCTACCTGAGCAGACGCGTACAGCTGGGGAGACAAAGGGGTGGAGCGTGACGCAGTGGTGAGGGTGTACAGACTGGACCCAGGCGCACGTGTGAACGTGGCCAGGTGACGGCCGGTCCGGGAGCACATGCAGATCGCCATACACTGTCCTCCAAGAGTAAAGGTGTCAACCCAGTGATCTGGAAGGACGGCGTTGCTCACCAAGTTCATGGAGAACGAGAGGAGGTGGAGACCAGACAGCTCACCAGACGGGACCGCCGGACACGGAAGCACAGTGGAAGACCGTGTAAGCACTGGGCCCCCAGAGG